CCCTTCCCGACCTCAGATCGCCCGTAATTTATTTTTCCTTTCATTTTTGTTATATTCTCTACCTTTTCTAATGGGTTTCAACCTACTATAATTTTTTTTCGTCTCAAAAATTTTCGACCCTGGTCTATATAGGTAGTGTGTGTGTGTTCTTTTGACGCACATTAGAGACCAAATGCGTGGACCGATTATAATGATCCATACATCAATTGATTTGTCTTAATCATGGGAGTGCTACTAAAAATATGATAATAATCGAAAATCAATATGGAGACAATGGGCGCCATATTGTGGGAAAGAAAAAAAAATAAGTTGACGAAATATGTCAAGCGGGGTATCATTGTCTAGATAATCGAAAATCATGTTTAGGTTTCTTACACCATTTTTCATTTTATTGTTTAGGATCTACAATGATTTAAAGTTGTCTATTAACCACTTGCGCTTTTAATTGCAATCTTACTTTGTATGGATCTTTGTAACTCTTTCACTCAAAAAATACTAAATGGTTTTTCATCAAACTAACCAATAATATAGCTCATACATAATAATAGCATATAGATTATAATTTATGTAAGTAGTTATTTGGTGAATTGGCCAAAATATAACAATAAGTGTCACGTAAGACGGAAAAAATCTCGGATAAAATGTGCGAGCCATTTTGGCCTGCACTGCAAAAACAATAAAAGTTACATGAATATAGTGTATGGTGGAAATGTATCTCTTATATAGTTCTACAAAAAGGTCCAGGTCAGCATATATCTACTTTTAATTTGTAAGCCATTATAGCTAAAATAGTGAATCAAAAATAAAATATTATTTGAAATAAATTTTGAAAATGCATATTTTGTATAAACAAAGTATTTTATTAAAACAAATACTTTTATCGCTTTTAATATTTAAAGACTTTGCCATTTACTCTGTGTAATTTCGGCAAATATTTAAAAACTTTCAATGATGACAAAGTTATAGCGCGGTGTACTATGCAGGAGTACGAATATACTGCGGGAATGGTGGCAAAAGTGATGAATTTTGGTGTTTGTAAACCTAGATAAAACCCAGGAGGACAAAAAAAAACCGGCCAAGTGCTAGTCGGACTCGCGCTCCGGGGGTTCCGTACAATCTCATTTTAATACCTCTACGCGTTCATGAGAAAAGAGGTAGTAACTTTAAAATATTAAAATTTTCAACTTTAATATGTAAATTTTCAAATGATGTAACTAAAAATTTTCCCTTTATCTGTACTATAAGACGTTACTTCGTACCAAATTTCAAGATTCTAAGTTCACGCGAAGTATTTTGTATTCTTTATTCTTTATTGCATAGTCACATGGTTAAAAGATGACAATTTAGTAATATATTTTTCATCCCACCACCTCGGAAAGTGTAATTTTGCGCTTCGAAATCTGGCTGGAAAATTCTATTTTATTCGCTTGAGCGGCAAAGTAGATTTGAATTTAGAACATCACATATAATGAGTACTCAATATAATTGTAAATTCAAAACGTCATTAAACCTATTTAATGTAACCTCTATGGTGCCAAATTTATGATTAGAACTTATTAAATTGTGAAAAAATTTAAATTTGGAACCTTCTTGGTTTCTTTGTTTTATTTGCGTGCTTCGCGCCATTCTAGTTTTCACGTTTTATTGCTTAATATAATTAACATAACCTAAAAACTGTACAAAAAAATCAACTAAAATGAGTGACATTAGCGACGATGAAGTTTATCTAACGCCAACTGAGTTAACTGAAACAGTTAATAATGCGCAAATGAGCCTTCTCCCTCAGCAATCACGAGAGAAGTATTTGAAACAGTACGATATATTTAACATGTGGCGACTAGCTAAAGGAGCAAAAACTTTCTCCGAAAACGTTTTGCTGGCATATTTTATAGAATTATCTGAGACCAAGAAAGCAAGCACGCTATGGAGTACGTATTCAATGCTAAAATTAACAATTAAGATGAAGAAAGACGTTCATATCGACACCTATCATAAATTAGTGGCATTTTTAAAAAGAGCCTCATCTGGTTATAAACCAAAAAAATCGAAGGTTTTCACAGCATCTGAAATTGCAAAGTTTATTAATGAAGCACCTGATTCCGTATATTTAGCGGCAAAAGTAAGTCAATACGTGTAATTTTTTGTTGTTGATAAAATTGTACATAGTACTTACAATATTTTTAATTTGATTAATTTATTTACGATTATAAATACTTCTTTTGTTACAGGTTGTTCTTATTATTGGTATAACCGGAGCATGTCGAACAAATGAACTTACACTACTTAATGTCAATAACGTATCAAAATATTCTCATAATTCTGATGAATTGCTATTAATTAATGTACTAAATACCAAGACAAAAAAAGACCGCAACTTCGTTATTCGCAAGGAATATGTAAACATTGTTCAGAAATATCAAGCTTTACGTCCTTCTAACACCCCAATTGAACGATTTTTTCTACAATATCGCAACGGAAAGTGTATCCGACAACCTATGGGTCAGAATAAAATTGGCAGTATTCCACGAGAAATAGCAACTTTTCTCGGACTTTTAGAACCCCCGTTATACACCGGTCACTGTTTTAGAAGAACCTCAGCCACACTTTTGGCCGAATCAGGGGCTGATCTTCTATCGCTTAAGCGCCATGGAGGCTGGAAGTCTAATTCGGTTGTAGAGGGATACATAGAGGATTCAATCCAAAGTAAATCAAAAATTTGTAATAGTATCGTGGAGGCCATAACGCTGAAAGAACCTCTGTCAGATTCTTGGTCTCGCCCTTCTACATCTAAAATGAGCCCCCATAAGATTGGAAACAATAGCCCTCTCTCGCCAACATTTACGCCAATAGAATCCAATGAATCGGCACAACTATTTAAAATTACTGATACGAGTAGTTTACCACAAAACAGCGCACAATTCACAAACACCAACATAACATTACCTAACAAAAATATTAAACTTAACATAAGTAACTGTAGCAACGTTACATTTAATATTTCTTAATTATTTTCTACTTCTTATTATTTTCTTCAATTTATAGATTATCTTAATGTGTTTTAATTGAAATAAAAATATTTTGTCATTATAAATTGTTTTCTTTTTCATTTTGTCATTTCCTCGCTGAGGTGGGATGAAAAGTTACGTATTGCACTCGAGTGGAAAGATTTTTCACCTTGTGCTCGTTTGTTTCCCTCGCTGACGCTCAGGATTCTAATTTAGAATCACTCGCTGCGCTCGTGATTCAACTTTAGAATCCTTCGCTTGCTCGGTCATCCAAATCGAGCACGCGGTTAAAAAGGAACTTTCCACTCTTGTATAATAAATAACTAATATAGTACATGTGACACCCTGCAAGGGTGTTTGCAATTTATTTATACATAAACATAATTAATAATAATATTTAATACAATAATTATATCAGTTGAACAAGAACTATATGTTTAAATTTATTTTAAGCATTTAACTGCTAGATTTATAATTGTAAAGTAATTACCATTATTATTTTTACTAGAAAAAAAAACAAAAATAAAATGATTCCAAATATATGATAACATTTAGATATTATTAGGGTGTACAACTATTATATTAACTAGAGTTTTATTCAAGTATTAATTATATTATTATTAATTTGTTACATTATTATTAATATTTATTATATTATAAAAATTTGTCATTAAAATATTCAGAAATATTATAGTAACTTTTATTTATTAGAAAATTTTTAAGCTGTTTTACAAATATTTTATTTTCAGTTGTACATTTTAAACTATTTGGTAGATGGTACTCAATTATTAGTTTATTTATACAAAGATTATATTACAATACATTAAAATAACACAAACTTAAAAACTATATAGCTTAACCTACTAACCTACATAAATAAATAATTTACAAAATAAAAAATATATCACCCCCAGCGCCGCCATCAGCAATGGTGCCCAATAGGCTGGCAGCATTGCTGCGTTGGATGGCAAGGCTGATCCGTTGACCAAGATAGCTGCCAGCTTTTTGATCACCGGTCACTTCGGTGAGCCTCTTTGACAATTCCATAAAAAGGGAACGAGCGCTTGGTCCCCATGAGCCCATAGTCTCAACACCAAACGGCAAATGGTAGATGGTTGTATATTTTTATTAACATTGCATGCGGAGCAGACGAATACATCTTTAATGTCGTATTAGGTAATTTAAGTTTATTTTGGTATCGATTATTGCGTCTAACTTTTTTCACAGGTGAGTATAATTCATAATGTTTTTTAATAAACTTACAGGCTTCAAATATATAAATGCAAGTGAGGGTCAAAATATTTAATCGAATAAAATACGGTTTACAAGACTCCATTTGATCTATGTTTGTTATGATCCTCAGACACCGCTTCTGAAGTACGAAAATTTCCTGAATACCAGTACAATTTCCCCATAGTATAATTCCGTATTTATGGAATTCCGTAAGTACCCTGTAGGTTTTGATTAACGTGCGAGTTTCGAAAATTTGTGGCATAAACGTCTGTATCTTTTGATTGCTTTGGCTTAGAAGTTTTATTTTTTCACACCTCTGATTCTATAAGGGTTCCGTTTTTTCCTTTTGAGGTGCGGCACCCTAAAAATGGGCTACTCGCAGTATCTAATCCTATACGAAGTACTTACAATTAAATTGTAACAAAGTTCCTTCTTATTAATTGATGAAAAAAAAATCATAATAGGTATTTATAATTTTTTAAATTAAATGAAAAACTCAGAATTAAACGGTTTTAAAAATTTTATTTTAACGATATTACTTCATGGTACTAAAGGATTACTTAACATAATGAGAAATAACCTATTATTTGCTAGTAGGTACATACTTAACAGACTCCCTGTCTTAATTAATCAGCTCGCGACAATGTTAGGTTTTGTAATTATAAACGATAAATCTGCAAAATTCGAAGCAAACAATATAAAGTTTTATAGGTAAATCACCCCTCCCATCACCCTACCCCTATAAATATTTCGATAATGTAGCTTAGAACCAAGGTCCCATCTATTTCTCTAGGGAAATTCATCATAATCGATTGAGCTATTCGGGCGCGGAAGCGTAACAAACAAACTCACTTTCGCATCTACGAGTATAATATTATATTATACTAGTGATCCGCTCCAACTTTGCACTGGCGAAATTTATTTTAACGGGATAGAATATAAGCCTATGACACTCGGATATAATGTAGTTATAAGGAAAAACACAAACAGGAAAGAATGGATTTTTTTCAAGTAAAAGTTTTCTTTAGATTTATAAATCGAGCAGATTAATCAATATCTTGAGATTAATGCTTAAAAATATAATAAATAATGTAGCTACCTTATAGTGAATGAATTTTCGAAATCAATTCAGGTTTGAGAGTTATTTGTTACACACATAAAACTCCTGCCTCTTTATAATATCTATTAGTATAGATAGTTAGGATAATAATAATAATAAACACTTTATTGCTTTTTTTATTATTTAATAAAACAACAAAAATTTCACTAGAAATAATCATAATAATATTTATTGAATAATTTTCTCAAAATCAAGAAAGTTTTCAATAGCTGTAGCGCGATTGTCTTGTTTTTTCTCCGACTCCGTGGAAGGGACAATAGATGGCGCTCTGCTCGGATTCCGTAATACAGGCTTTTGGAGTTGAAGAAAGTTCAATGATGCTTTTAACTCTTTAATGATGACTTCTTTGTGTGTGACCTAAACAACAGGATATTAAATATGAAAATAAAGTATTTCCGCGAAAATGTCACCCTCAACAACTACGAGTGAAAGAATATTTGAGAATGCAGTGGTGTCGATTCTAGCGTGATTCTCTAAACCTGAAACTAAATTTAAAATCAGTCTCTCCTTTTCATTCTGTGTAGAGAATGAGAAGGATATACTGTTGTCAAATTTAATTTTAGGTTTAGAGAATCACGCCAGAATCGACACCAGTAACTAGCTGTTGAATTCATAATTTTAATACAGGTCGGACAATGTTAAAACTCTCGTTTGGAGAAGTACCTCCACCTTAAAAAAGACGACAGTTGACGACTTCCGTGGCCGAGTGGTTTGTACGCCGGGTTTCATGACGTCGCCGACTCGAGAGGTCCCGGGTTCGAATCCCGGTAGGGTAGGGTAGATGTTTGTGTACTGAACACGAGCATTTGTACTCCAGTGATGGATGTTTAAATCTAAGACTTTTATTGAGCGTTCGGTTATTTCATTGGAAGATTTTTAAAAATTTTATTGTCTATGTTTGAATTTAGTAGTTAATTTAGTTAATAAATTATGTATTTCTATATAAATATACTTATATATGTAAAGTAGTTGTATTCTATCCGTTACCCTAGTATCCCATAACAAAAGCCTTATAGTGCTTACTTTGGGGCTAGGTCAATTGGTGTGAGTGTTGGAAATATTTATTTATTTATTAGTTAAAGTGCTTTTTGGTGGTCTTATGTTTTTGTCGGTGAGTTAGTAGTTCCTATGTTTAATGATTATTTTGAGTGGTATGTTAGGATCATAAAAATGATCTAAGTTCCTATCTTAATTTTTTATGTCGAAGTAATTACTTAATTTTTTACAGTCAAATAAAAAACGGCTTTTATAATATAAAATATTTCTTTTATTTAAAAAAATCACAGCCTTTATTTGAAAGTAAACCTAACTAGCTAAATATTTGTGTTTACTACATATGCTAATAAAAAATTGTACTTATATATTTTACATGAAGATTAACAACATTTAAATAAAAAAGTAGCTCTCATTTCAACAAATTAAAACAATGTCACACTAATACGTTTTAGTTGCAAAAAAAAAATTACTTACAAACATTTCAATTAAAACATCAGTGTTACTCGGTGGTATTTTTTAAAATCAATATCACAACCGTTTTTTTACTATTATTAAATCTTTCATTTCACATAAAAAGCAACTAAAATAATAATCAACATAATATTCAACCCCCACCTTTAATTATTTTGTTAAAGTATTCAGAATCATTTTATAATTAAAAAAACAACATTTATATTGATACCAATTTTTTTATAAATATTAAATATTGTTGCTAATAATAAGTAATTATTCAGTATCAGTCTCATGAGGAATTGATGGACATTACTGTATTTAAAATCTTAACTTCGCTAATCAATGACCGACAGTTATTTGGCCAATTTAATTCCTGCAATGTTAGGTTGATCTTTTCTTTGGTTGCTACACTCTCTGCAGATCTTCTGGAAATATTATTCGTTTTTTTGAGTTTATTGCAGTAAAAGCTACTTCCTTCTTATGCCCTCCAAAAATTTAACTATCTTAGGTTTTGATTTCATATATCTTTTTACGTGGTTGTGCCATACTACAATATTGTTTGTTTTATGGTCTTCATTATAGGTGCACCATATTGGAAAATAAATGTCATTTTCAGTGCTGACAAAATAAAGCTGCCTTTGTCCTTCGGACATTTTTCCATTTTGTAAAACCACTCTTCACTGAACAAATGTAACGGGAGGTGGAACAGTACTGAACATAACTTTACGTGTATTGTGCCCAACTGTTTTGCTTTTCTCCATAAACATCTAGTAAAATGGAAAAACCATCCAACGATCTCCGCATCCGGCTCCGGATTGCCAATATAGCAGGCACTTCAAAATCCATGCTTAGTTTTAAAGGGTTCCACTGAGGTATACGACTTCTTATTAAGTCGTGTGTTGCCATGTGTAAAAAACCAGGAAACGTTATTAGAAATAGGACGTAGTGCACTTGCGCTTCCCTCGGCTCGTCTTGTCGTGTTGGCTGATACTAAATTTTAAGTGTAAATATTAATCTATGTTATTTCAAATGTAAACGATTCATAGCAAAATATGTGGACTGATGATGTCTTCGTTTCTAACATTAATATACAGGGCGACCTACGGGTTAGAGAAAAAAGAATGGCGTATGTTGCACGGATTTTATCAGGTAAAAGCACATACAATATCTACTCTGATGGGTTTCTTTGAGGGTGACAGTGATTGGTTGAATTAACAATTGTTCCATGCATTATTTTTATTGTAGCATTGCAGTAAACCTTCTTTCGGCACCTCCATAAATTTGATCCATTTTTATTAGTCCTCTTGAGTATGTATTCATACTTTGACCCACTTGACATTACCATCGCCATAACACTGATGACATTGATGAGAAGTCATAATCATCACTTAACCAATCTCGATTGATTTGCTCAATAGAAACGGGCCCTTTTTTGTTTAAAGTATATGTAAAAGGCTAAGCTACTTTATATAAAAAGATATGGTTCTCGTTTTTACAGTTTCACAATTTAATACAATTATTTATATAAAACTAGTTTTTACGGGTTAATGCACGAGACTTTATTTATTTATTGACGTTTCGCAGCCTTTTCAGGTCTGCATCGTCAGAATAATGATTTTTTATTTAAAATTGTCGAGCTACCTTCGAAAGACTTATATTGAGCGTTCGGTTATTTCATTGGAAGATTTTTAAAATTTTATTGTCTATGTATGAATTTATTATTTAATTTACTTAATAAAGTATTTTAATAAAATTCTTGTTTGTAATTTTGAGTTTATTTATTTGACCCTAACTACCTTATGTTAAATTATCCAAAGTAGGAGATAGAAAGCCTCTCTTGAGTTTGTTTCGCCGGTTCTTCTCAGGAAGGTCTCCCAATTTTGGAACCGGTGGTAGTTTACGGTAGTTAGGGTCAAATAAATAAACTCAAAATTACAAACAAGAATTTTAAATAAAATACTTTATTAAGTAAATTAAATAATAAATTCATACATAGACAATAAAATTTTAAAAATCTTCCAATGAAATAACCGAACGCTCAATATAAGTCTTTCGAAGGTAGCTCGACAATTTTAAATAACAAATCATTATTCTGACGATGCAGACCTGAAAAGGCTGCGAAACGTCAATAAATAAATAAAGTTTCGTGCATTAACCCGTAAAAACTAGTTTTATTTAATGAGTGATGTGCGTGAAAACCTAAGAAACAAATAGCAGCATTTTACCTGAAATAAAATGCATATTAAAATACTTACCTCACTGAAAGCTTTATATTGAGATAGCACTTCCGTTTCCCGTCGAATTACCATCAGTTTCCGTACTTTTATTCACCTTGTATCCGGTCCAGTGGCGACACCTGGCAGAAGCGCGGCCATTTTTGTTTTCCTATGTTTTGACAGCGCCATATTAACTCATTGGCTCAATTATTTCACCAGGCAGAATTTAAAGTGAAAGCTTTCAGTGAGGTAAGTATTTTAATATGCATTTTATTTCAGGTAAAATGCTGCTATTAAACTACTTGACCGTCACTGAAAGCTTTATATTGAGACCTGTTTGTTATCGCCTGGTGATCGCCACGTACATAGATATATACGCCAATGTGACAATTTATGATAAATTTAAATATTAACATTTATCAGATTATATGAAACTGTATAAAGAAACGAGTAAGCTTAAAAGTGAATCAAATAATATTATTTGAATCACGCCTTTAATTTCTTCAAGCTTACGAAGCTGCTTTAACATATGTATTAGCTGATCGCTATATTCCTTTGCTTAAAACTCGCGAATATATATACTTCTACATATATTTGCTTTGTTAATGACCGGACGCTTCCTTGTGTAGCATTAATTTGTATCTTTGTATATCACAAATAAGGCGTACGAACGCGAGAAAAAGATGTAAAGTTGTTCGATACTGAGTCTTACATTTTACAAGACTGTACTTTTTACTTAAGTACCAAAAATCAGGGTCCCACTTACGATTACCATTATTCGGTACAAGTCACCAATCGGATTGTCTTTAACTACTTTCACCTGTTTTGAACCAAAACAAGGCTAAACTAATCTTCGTCGGTACAAATACAATGCAGCAATGAAACAAATACAATGAACCAAATAATACGCAGCATAATTACTGTATGACGTTCAGAACAATATATATGACGAAGTATTTGAAACAGATCATTATGATGTAACGAGTACATTATTGAAGAAAAGGGAATAAGTTAACTTATAGACACAGAATAGTAGGTTACGGACTGATTCTTTAAAAACAATCGACTTCAATATATATGTGTTTGCCAAGACAGGTGAGCTTAGGTAATTAGACTTATCATCCATTGGTATATCATGTAAAAACTAGTGTTAAAAATAAGTCTCTCAAAAATCGTGTTAGTTCAGAGCCGAGTCCACAACTTGCGGGATTATTCCGATAAACATTCTTGTTCCTAAACCAATGTAACCACGCAAGCCAGCGTTTCCGAGCCATCTAATAGCTGTTTAAGACGGAGCTGTCGCTCTTTGTAGAATATGTTGAAAAGCGTAGTGCTAGCATATCTATTTGATTGGAGTGAAGATTGAAGTTAAGTGGTAGAGCCGTGTTCTTCAACTATACTTCCCAAGCTTTCATATTAGATTAGCGGGAAGTGATTGCAAGGTCGATTGCAGTGAATTCATAATTATTGTTAGAAGTAGGGAGTGGTTGATACAACCCCACGGAATGACAAAAATGTTGAAACTGATCAACTTCTGAAGTTTACGTTTTTACAACGAAATTCTCAGGTATAGTTTTTATATTGTTGCTGGGTTGCCGTGATAAATTATGCTATTACGAAGTTCAGACCAGATTTTATGAAATTCATTTGCCATCCTGGAATCTATAATTGATTGTAATTTTTCCTTTTGTTTTTCAATTCTTAGATCTCAGTCATTTATATGTGTTACTTAATACTAAATAAAGATTTAGTTATTTATAACATTTATACAGCTTACATGAGGTGTGCATGTACTATGCGTAGGGTTTGAAGTATATTTATTCCAGACAGTCGTGGCAAGGTTAGAAAGCGTAAGTTTAATATTAAGAACAGTTTTCAGTAATTTTTACTAAAATAACATAAAGTGGATAATTGCATACAATGATCTTCAAAACCTTTCAAGAATTAGGTAGATCGTGCAATCTTTCTTCAGTACATAGCACCACTTATATATCAAAATGATCATGTTGGCCACCTCAGACACCACATACACGACATTTCTAATACTGCAAGTTTCTCTCATTACGCGATCAAAAGAGTGAGCAACCCATTTGGTTTACTTTTGTTATTTTCAAGAGAAAATATGTTATCATCTATTTATCTGGCAGATAGTCCTTAAATTGCAGAAAACTTAGAATTCTTTACATATTTATACTGCACTTGAGATTGGAGTTTGATATATATTGGATTTAGATAAACAAGCTTCTGAATGGCATGCGATACCATTAAATTTATTTAAGAATTATTTATGGAGCTCCCAATTTATCAACTTACCTGCACTAAATTTTTTCAAACATTAATTGTTTCGATATTCCTTTTTCTTTTGAAATGTATTATATATTACGGTAGAACAACCGTAGTGATCGAGTCAACACTTCACACCAATTAGCCTAGCCTTAGAATGGGCATTGAAAGGCTTGTGTTATGGGCTAACGCCTAGAAATGCATAATGATGATGCATAGATTAGTATGATTTGGAATTCATATTTGTTAACAACCAAAACTTAGGCACAGATGGTCGTTTTTATCATACAATGATTTGCCCCACCGGGGTGAACCCAAGACCTCAGAGTATGCGACACCTTAAAAACCACGTACATTGCACTTCCCAACGGGGTACGTCAACATTCGATGTTCGATCTTTATAGTCTATTAAGAGGGTAGTTTATAGCCGATACTTATGTGTGTACGCAAGCCATGAGCGGGTATGTTGCGTTGCGTTGATGTATGGATTTCCACGCGATGGAAGTAATGAATTATGTCAAGCGACATTTATTATATTTTCAATTTACTTATTTTTAATGTTTCGAATCGTTTACACTTTTACAGACCCCATGGTCACAAAAATAAATTATGAATCACGAATAGACTACATGTTAAATTATGCATAATTTGCTCCACTTGAGTGTCGTATGTTACCGGTGCTTCCATAATATTACGAACTCCATAAGCTAACATGTTCTAAGGAGAACATATATCGATATTCACGTAATGGAAATAATATATTATGTGTGATATGACCCCACAAGGGCGATTATAAGATTGATGAGGATATTTCTCTATCAACGATGTTTTGTTACTGATACTTGTATGTGTAGGCAAGCCATGGAAGGCAAGTCCTTATTCATAATGAGTTCCATACGGAGGAAGCAAATTATACATAATATGCCCCCGCGAGGGGCGGTCATCAGAGTTTTGGTAATATGCACGCCGCGAAGGTGGTTTGCTACCGGTACTCGTATATGTAAGCAAGGCATTTGAGGTATTTCATAAGGTTTCACGTAGTGGAAACAAATTGTATATAATATGCACCCCGCGAGGGTGATTTGCTACCGGTACTCGTATATGTAGGCAAGGCATTAGAGGCATTTCATAAGGTTCCACGTAGTGGAAACTAATTGTACATAATATTCACCCCGCGAGGGTGATTTGCCACCGGTACTCGTATATGTAGGCAAGGCATTAGAGGCATTTAATAAGATTCCACGTAGTGGAAACAAATTATATATAATATGCACCCCGCGAGGGTGATTTGCCACCGGTACTCATATGTGTAGGTACGCCATGGGAGGGCATGTCCTGACATGCCTTGGGCTTCATGAGATGAAGCTTATGAATATCACTTGCCTCTGCGCGAGTTGCTCATTAGGTTGATGAAATGTCAATCACTTAAATCCATGACAAATACTTACTTAATACGAGAAATACAACCTCATAGATGGTGGTATCTTATTAAGTGGTGCTTCATCACAGAGATCACTAACTTCTTAAGCAGTGCTTTAGTTTTTACTTTTTAGCTTTGTGCTAGCTGTAAAAGACCTAAGAAACGATTCTGTTATCTTATCACTTTCGTTATTAAAATAAACTGAGCAGGTGCCTTCCCGCAATGATTCATTTTTATTTTAGAAATATGCAATTGCTGAAAGAAAATTAATGTCAGGAACGTGATATATCATAAATTATCATCATACTTCTTTACCTCGTTGTTTGTTTCCAGGTTGATAAAGCCTGGACTATGATTATAATTTTTAATTTACATCAGCATATCATTTAAAATAAACGTTGAATGTCTTTCGAACAGAGCGTTCCTTTATCCTAGTTTAGTCACACGACTCATATGAGAATTTTTATTACGTGTATTGGTCAGTAAAAATATTAGAACTTTTTATTCATAAGCCTTTAGATATTGATAGCTGGCCATGTTCAGATATCGACATTAGAAATACCTTATTAAGATTGTACATAGTTCACTTACCCCTCGAACAATCTTTTAATAAAAGGGCTGGAATATCAAGCTCGCTTATTTTTCTTGAGGCAGCGATGCCGCTTTCGTTATACCAGAAGACGACAAATTCTACCAATTATTACTGCAGCTGTTCGAAGAACAATAATGACACATCTTGCTGTTTTTGCCAATAATGCCAGTCAGTCGGCGGCTGAAACGTCAATATTGACCGATATTCATTCACTCTAAACTGTAAAACAATTTAATTAAGTATTTTGTAATACATTTACCAATTTACTTTCACATTTACTTATACGGACACATTAATTGAGTACCAAGAGAAAACACTCTTAAAATAGTTTTTATGATAAACGACCAAGACAGACGTAAAGTATTGCAAAATTTACTTTAATGTAGGTACTTTAATTTTTTAAACAAAACGCACCTTGAATTGCCGTCAAGTTTTACTCACGGCTTATTATTACTTTTTCAAACAAGCGTATTGCACAATTTAACATATTTGTTTTAAATATCCCTTATCACAAGGGCTGCAAAAACTATCAAAAGGAATAATAGTTTTACTTACGGTTCCTTCACTTTTAACACGTAAAGTACCTATTTGGAATAACACGAACGGCAAAAACCGTTAAAATAAAATAGTTTTACTTACAGTTTTATCACTTAATAATAATAAAACCTTTAAAATCTTACAACGATCGCTCAGATTGAGGACGTGTTGCTTCGACGGGAGTCAGAACGCCAATGAGTTAATATGGCGCTGTCAAAACATAGGAAAACAAAAATGGCCGCGCTTCTGCCAGGTGTCGCCACTGGACCGGATACAAGGTGAATAAAAGTACGGAAACTGATGGTAATTCGACGGGAAACGGAAGTGCTATCTCAATATAAAGCTTTCAGTGACGGTCAAGTAGTTTAATACAATTATTTATTTCAATATACTTTTGAATAAAAACAATAGGGATGCGTAAGAGAGATAGGACTACGCATGTGCACAACATTTTAGTGTGTGCATTTCCTACCGATAACATAAACACCATGTTATTTTTATTTGTTTTAAATTAAACTACCTGCTTGGAATAAGTTTATATAAGAACTTAGTTCGGTTAGTTATACATTTATTACTCTAGAGTGGCTGGATTGATTATCATGATGTTTGATTTATATTTGTCATCACCCCGAATACTATTATATTAAAGAGCTTTTGTCGTTAACTGTTCTTTTTAAACAAACACTTCTTTCTTTATTTTTGGTCCCAACTTACCACTCAAAATAATCATTAATCATAGGTGTCATTCGGGACCACTAGCTTCGGTCCCGAATGCCGCCTCAAAATAATTTATTATAATGAGATCAGTGGTCCCGGTCCCAAATGACTACCGACTCACGAATTCGATATTGGTTCGTGCTAAGGGTACAGTATCCCTAGTACGAACCATTATCGAATTCGAATAGTTTACAAACCGAAATAATGTCAATGTCAAATTTTGTATGGAAACTTGAACAGCACCGGTACAAAGTACGTAACGAGAACTAAAAATCAGTACACATTTGAAAATGATATTTCGGACTCGCAAAAGATATGAATTCGATATTGGTTCGTGCTACCCCTACACTACCCCTTTTTTTATACGGAGGCAAAAATACTATTTACAGACGACGGCGCCTTTAAGAGGCACACCGCCGAACGGACCTCACATCTGGCTCCTGCAAGCCTTACGAGCCCCAGCAGTGGCTGCCCACTGAGGACCCCGTAACCCTTACGGGCGCTTTACGGCATAATATCCGCTAAAAACCCTGCGAATACCCTCTAAGCTGCTTAGCGCGAAGCCGCGAGATCCCCGTTTAGGGATTCTTCCGCGTCTCCGCACCTAGCAGCCTCCCTGCCTTGCCGGGGCTCCGCGGGAGGGGTCTCCCGGGGTATCGCGGGGAGCCCGCATACGTGCGCAGGATGGCCAGCGCGTGGGGGCTGAGTACGTGGCCTAGTGCCCACCGTACCACCCCCCGTCCGCTGCGGAGGGCTATTTAGGCGTGCCCATGTTACCCCTGGCACGAACCATTATCGAATTTGAATAGATTGCGAGTGCGAAATGTCAATGTCTTTTAATTATTTAAAATTTAAATGTCTCAAATTTTGTATGGAAACTTGAACAGCAGCACCATAACGGACGTAACGAGAACTAAAAATCAGTACACATTTGACAATGCCATTTCGTACTCGCAAACGTTACTACGAATTGGATATTAGTTCATGCTAAGGATACCGGCCCCCTTGTTAAAACTCTACTACTCACAGATGATGTCAAAAAATTACAATTGCCTTAATTATATTAAGGCATTCTAAATAATACCTGTTCTCTCACTACGATATTACGGCATTCATTTAGGAATTCAACAGCTGTGATGAAGAGGCAAAACACCTGACCGACTATGAGCACCAGAAAGGCGCCGAAAAGGTTTTCCATCCCAAGAGAGCCCTCAACACTGCTGTCGTCCGTCTTGGGCTAAAATAAAACACAATTTCATCAAGATATAGCACACAAAGTATTACGAAGGAGTTCGCACTTAGGTAAAGAGGAGCTGAATGGCACAGGTCGTTAGCGCGTTCAGTCTGCGAATGATGATGATCATTGGATAGTTGACGAAAAACTTATTATCTTGAGCTTCTCTGTGCTTCGGAAGGCACTATAAGCCGTTGGTCCAGGTTGCCTCTGCAGTCGTTAGAACCCACCTATCCTCACTTGGCCCGCGTGATGGGTGAAATCTCCCTATTCTATTCATAGGAAAAGCCTGTGTCCCAACAGCAGTGCGGATATTAATAGGCCGTGACGATGACAGGTACCTACACAAGTAATCGAAGAGTTGTAAAGTTAGCTTTCTTTGAGCGTGCCTAAAACTTTGAAAGACGGTGGTGTGGTGAGTAATTAGGCAAATATAAACGCTAAGTAATTTTGTTATTCCGTCTTTCTATTACGCGTTGAAGTCTGAACCACTGAACGTATTTTGGAGATAAAGGAACATTCGAGAAGGATAGTTTATTGTGATTTTTATTGATAAAATAAAACTTAAAGATGACGTATATAATCATCATCATTTATTTCACAAAAAGGAGGAATCTACGCAGAAAATTATCTACGCAGAGATTGTCGGAGCACCCTTATGTAACAAGAAAAAATAAGTTAATTTCCACTACTAGTCGTTTTATTATGATATTATATTTATTTGTGATTCTAAATAATTATTCATATTACATTAGTGATAATTAACAACATTAAACATTAAGTTAATAGCAAAACGTTACTGAGAAAATGTTTTTAATTCGTTTCATAGAGTAAATTGGTGGAAATTGGTATTCTCACTTACCGGACATTCTATAGCACCGTATTTTTTGTCCCACCATTTTGTTTTTATTTCGTCGAGTATAGTATGTTCTTTAAGTTTTAAAATAGCTTTATTTATGTGACTTCTGAAAGGGGAGTCTGTAGAATAAAAAAGTCATGTCATATTCGGGATACAGTCTTGAGGGATATATGATGACCTCCGTATCCGAGTGGTATGTACGCCGGGTTACAAGGTGTCGCCTACTCAGAAGTACCGGGTTCGAATTCCGAGGGGGCAAAGGTTAGAGTGATGAATACGAGCATCTCGTACCTAAGTCATGGATGTTTATGTAATATTTCTAGATAAAAAATATATTTATACATGTATTCTTTCCACCACTCTGTAGTATCCCATAACAGAAACCTTACAGTGCTTAATTTGGGGCTAAGCTAATTAGTGCGAGTGTTAGAAATATATATTTATTGATGTTCCATTCAGAATGTAGACCTTTAAATGGGAACTAGAATTTGAATTTTCCTCGTTTCTCTACGCAAAATACATTTACATGCGTGTGAATGTATTGGAGGGAAATTCAATTATTATTTTTATTAAGCAAATTGTTTGTACTTTAATTAATGAAATATTTTATGTGAAACCTCTGTAATGATCTGTTGTTTTGGGCAATGAAACTTTAATTAATTGTTAACCACACGCTGGTAATTAGACACTTACATACTTTGATTAAAATTTAATAAATTAATTAAATGTTCAGGTTTTCCATTAAAAAAGTGGTTCTGGAAATGCCATTACGGTTTATTTTTACTTACTGGCAGGCATAGCGATGCCGTAATCCTTCGAGTCTAATTCACCACCTACTTTGGTAAGATCACAGTTTCTTTTCAATTTGTAGTCTATGGTGCAAGATTCCATGAAAAAGGCATACTTATTCTTTCCATTGAGAACTCTTTTTTCGCCTTCATCATTGGTATTTACCAAAACTACAGGATTCGCCATCATGGTTTCGTAAATCTTCGTATACATTTTATCTTTTGAGCCCTAAAAATATTTATTAGGTAGACTCTGTGATATAACTACTACGTTATATTAAAATTAAAAGGGTAAAAGCCACTTGCACAAAAGTTCTTAAATGAAACTTTAAATAAAATCGTGATATTAAATTGCATTAAACTTATTATTTTATTTAGAAATATTGATGCTATTGATTGTTTTAGGAATTAGAAAATAACATGCACTATGCCTGACTTATGCTGTAGATGTAATCAATATAACAAAGTTACTCAAATTAATTCAAAAATAATTCCTTTTGGTTCTTTAAGTAAGCGTTGATCCAAAAAACCTTGTGCAAGTGGAGTCTGAGGTGATATAGTTTATTACCTTAAAAAATTCTAAAGTTGAACCTGTACCTATGGCTCCATAGAGAATTTTGCTTTGTTTTGCCAAGTCTTCTACACTATTTATTGGTTCTTCCTCCAGTGCCGACGTCATGGACGCCGATAGTTGGGCAATATAAGTCTGACATACTATCATAGCGAAGAACCACCACATACCGCATACCCACCGAGAGCCCAATGCCCTACAACAACAGGATTTGAGAATTATAATTATTTTTATAACAGCCCCTTCAGTGGGCCTCGCACAAGTGCCGATTGGTTCTGCGCTATTTACATCCAGTGCCATCCCGCAATCTTTGCGGCTCTGTGTGTGGCTTTCCAATATCGTCGATCCACCTGGTGGGACTCCCACTGAGCATCTGCCTGTGCGTGGTCGCCTTTCTGGAACCGTTCCCTGAGTCCATCTAAGCATCATTGTACGAACTCGTTCGATCGCTCTGATGTTACCATTTACCGTTTACAAATAATTGCTCTTTCAGAACTGTTCTGAGCTTAAGTGGAAACGCAGCATTAGACGATCATTTTATCTAGGCATAAGGTTAATTTTGTTAAGATCGGTTGTTGAATAATACTTACTTTGGCAAAATATCACATCCTTGTGTCATAATAGATCCCATTGTGAGCCAGGTACAATTCTTGAAGTTCCAAATGTTTTCCAACTCTTCAGGGTCCTTGTCACATGGTTGGGGGTTTTCCCAATCAGCTGGCGATATTCTGAGGGCATTTTTTGTTTTTAGCAAATGAACAAATATTTATTGTACTGTGCTCTTGCATATTGACGGTAAATTAAAAATGTCTTCTTTCTTACAATCGGTTAACGAAATAAACTATTTTTATTTTTTTTATTTTTTTTTATCTTTCTTACAATCGCTATCACTATATTTATGATATGTAAATTTGTATCTATTTATTTTGATAAAAACTGTATTATTAGCGGTAACTGGGAAATAACACAGGAAGACTAAATACCTAGCTTGGAACCTTAATTAATCTATGACAATTTCTTCTATCCACATAAAAAAATATATATACCATTTTTGGCTGTCGTGGTCAACATAGTAAAAAGGTTAGAAGGTATTAACTTTGCTGTCAATATTAATATATTCAATATATACGAACAATAATCTATTTACCTTGCACACACGAATAGTACTATTGATACCACACAATACGCTGTCGCCGTGTGTATCCAGACGTCAAAAGCATAGGGATTGAGGAAGGCGAACAGTTCTGGTTCTGGTTCTTTTTTCTGAGTATACAAAATACTGATGCCAAGCGACATGAACGGCACCGAAAAGTCAACAACCTTTTTTCGCTCCTCGGTTATTGTTAAATCACAAACTGCTAGATCAGCTTTCTAAAACAACGATGAAGAATAAGCTGGGATAAGTCATTTTTAATCTGTCTGTGGATAAAGTTGTCAATAAAACTGTGGTTAGTACTGCGACTTAAAAGATCTACTATGATAAATTATGACTTTCAACTAATTTTGGTATTTCCTTAAGCGTAACAACTCCTAAGAAACTTTAAATATTCATGGATTTCAGTTGATTGATTTTTACCGGGTTATTTATAATTATGTCGACTTTGCTGTGCACTAGTAATAACCGATAATTATTTTGTTAACTCTCAAAACCAAAACGTATTTTTATTTTATAAGTTAGGAGCTAAGTTATAAATTTTATGCTATTTACTTGATCTAGCAAATCCCCAATGAGACCGTTCCATTTCTTAGTTTTTGGATCTAACTTTCCCCACAATTTGTCTTCTTCATGCAGGAAGGAATAAGTGTAATTGAAATTCTCTTCTTTGAGTATAGCAAATATATGTTTCACCAGATCGACAGAGAAACCTTCATATTTTTCACCATCGTCCTCTTCACAATCATCTCCCTCACATTTTTGCTTGTCATAAAAGTAAGGTTTCGCTTTTCTTGATATTACCTGTTTAAAAAAAAGAATTTTAATGTATTCAGGTTTTTACAGTGCCTGGTCACGTATAAAATCAAAACAATTACTCACAATAAAATGTTTACTGTGTTGGTTGGATACTTGATTGTCACCAGAAGGTCTGTTTTCTTGTATTTCTGTTCCATTTGTTGAATGCCATGTGCCTATAGTTTGTCGTTTAGAGATATATATCTCGTTCACATACAAAGTATAGTTAGAACGCCTCCCAAATTCATCGAATGTAATGGTACCGGTAACACCACTAGAATTTGTCTGAAAATTAAAAATGATCAAAAGCTTGAAATAGAATAAGAGAAATAACAGATCGGCCAAAAAAATGGCTGAATTTAGTAGCCCGAATGATTATTTAAACCTTATTTTGAAATGTATGTAGATCTGAAGTTTAAGCTTTAAGCCAAAGTTCACTACTTTGGCCGATTTATTGTTCATTTTTTTGTTCAGGGCTTTTAGGTCAAAGTCCAGTGCTAATGGTATAAATCATCTTTACTATTTTTTAAGTTGAGCTAAAGCCTAAAAATAATCAAAACGCGTATTAGTAGCTTTATTGGTGTAGTAACGAATATTATGATTTTAATTTGCTTGCAGTTACTTGTAACTTGTGTTAACTTCATAAAGTATGTTATTGTGTTATTATGTAAGTGTAGTATTAACAATAACACTAAACCTGTAATATGGCTTTCTGGAATAAAGCACCGTGACGCCAAGGATCGCTATCGGGATCGCAGATACTGTTTCTAGGTTTTTGTATTGAACTATCTATGGATTGAAGCGCTTTCAACAAATGGTTTGCAATATCATCCATTATGAGGTCCCCAGTCTGTTAAAAGAAATGATATAAAAACAATTATACAAAACTTTATTATGTCTACGTTTATATAGCCGTTAATAGATAAGTAAATACTGGGGAACATAATTTAGGTAATATTATATATCTTCTAAATGAAACAGGTACCAAATAAATAATTATAAAGAAGCAGGTAGTACAGAACCGGTAGTGAATTCAACGATATAAAATATTAAAATTCAGTGAGCGGTTCCACCATTTTGACGATAATGATAAATGAGTACCTAATGCTTTTATATTCCAAGTGGTTATCACCTCACATTATAAAGGTTGGTTTTGTTTATTTATTTAGGATTTCATCCGTTGTAGTTACGATTGTTATATACTTAATAAATTTTAACTGTTGTATCCAAATAATTTCAATTACAAGGCAACTCATCGATCTAAATATTACATCTAACTAAACGAAAAGTTTTATATCAAAAGTTTATTTACTGTTTGATTCCTAATGTAAACGGTAAAACTATCTTACCGTGAAGCTGGTAACTAGGGGAGAGCTAGTAGCCGGATAGCTCCAACTGCCAACCCTTGACGCGAGATAGTGCTGGGCGTTCCGCAGTGTATCGTAATTTGAGAGACTCAGCCAAGTGATGTTTGAGTTGAACTCTGTCAATTGCTCAGCAACTATGTACGCTTCTATTGTCACCAGTATGTAATGCTGTAATATATAATTTGTTTTTTTAATATAGGAATTCATCTTATTGCTTAGAGTCTATGGTGTCATAAAGTTATATATTATACGACATTGGTAAGAGTTAACAACGAAGTAATTTTTTATCACATCTATTTGAAAAGAACTAATTTGCTGCCTGTTCACAGGGTCCAAAATAGTGTTTTAATCCCTAGGGACTAAAAGTGATTTAAATTAGGAATGTGGATATTGTTGGGTAATAAAAGTTCCAATCCACAAAGAGATCAATCACAAAAAAATATGAACAAGACACAAAACTCATCCAATGAAAATAAGTTTGTGTAAAAATATAAACGCGCCAGATACATTCATTCTTTGTTCATAATTGTTTACTTAAGTTCGGATTTATTTGGTTTTATTAAAAATGGGCGTCTTCCTCTAGTAGTGAGAATGAAAGTATGCTAAAAATGTGCTACAGTCTTTACGTACAAAATCCCGCGAGAGTGATAAAAAGTAGTGTCCTCGTTGCGCTCAGAATTTAAACATCACTCTTGCCTTTGAAATAGTTCTTAGCTCCCTAAGTAAACAATCTCGTATACATACATAGCGATATGAAAAATGTTATATAAAAAAATAATAGAAATTAATTAATTAATAAATTAATTTATCACATTCTAATATTTACCTGATAATGATTAACCATATTCAACGCCTTTGAATCATTCATATATTTCATTATTCTACTTGCATCGCAATCCATTAAAATTCGATTCCCTTGATATTTGGTTAGCTCCTTGAATACCTAAAATTGTAGAAATATATTATTATAAACATTTCGTCTTCTTAAGCATTAGTCTTTGTTTTGTTTGTACTTACATGACGGTTATCCTTGTCAGGGTCCAATCTGCGCACTGTTACAATATGGTTCGTAGTGTGTTCAGCAAGGATCTTTTGTATTCGTAACAATCCTGAAATATCAAAAAGAGTAGTTATTTTAAAAGAATCGCCAGTTACTTACTTACAATATATGTGTATATTACCAGCATCATCTTCATAAAGAGCTGCGAAATTTTCCCACCCGTAGTACTTGAGCAGTCTTGCATAAGCTAAAGAGATTTCATCAAAGTTAGGGTAGAAATTAATAGATATCTTTTTAAAAGCATTCTCCTCTGTTTCATCCCCTTGAGTTTCTTCTTCGTTCTCATTTTCTGCTTCGTTTTCATTCTCAGCTTCGTTTTCCTCACCAGCTTCGATTCCATCTTCAGATTCGCCTTCTTCATCTTCATTTTTGTACAAATTTGGATCTTCAATTTGCCACGAAGCATGTATGTGTGGTATGTTTCCTACTGCACATTGATCTCGGACGGCTCCGTCAGAATAAGGCTTTAGGGGCCCAACTATAGCAATTGGTCTCATCGTCGGATTAGCGCATACTGAAATTTGACATAACAATGTATCAATATCAATTAACATTTAGTGCTAAAATGGAACATTTGCTATTAATACAGATTATATTATATTGCATTATGTAAACAAATCATAAAATCTTTCTACTAATATTACTGAAGTAATAGAATTGCTTATTAACCTTAAGTATCGTCCTCCTACCTCCGAGAACTCCGTGGATGGTGGAAAGTGGTTGGTACGCCGGGTTTCAAGGTGTCGCATACTCGAAAGGGCCCTGAGTTCGAATCCCGGAGGGAGCAGACGTTTGTGTGATGAATACGAGCATTTGCACTCCAGTTATGGATGTTTAATATGTATTTCGACATAAATACTTATATATGTATCAGTTTATGTATTCTATCCGTTACCCGAGTATCCCATAACACAAGCCCTCAGTGCTTAATTTTGGAGCTAATCTAATAGGTGTTTATGTAAGAAATGTAACAAATATTTATTTATTGTTATAATATTCCAATTGAAAGATGGAATGGTCAAAAATATAATACCTATAATTTAAAGCTATAGGTATCATTTTATTTTATTATTGGAGTAGAAAGATTTTGATCCTTACATTCTTTCCAAATGGAATAGCTGTCTGTTCTAGATGGCTTCAGGAGAATAGGGTTGAGTCGGTAATCGCCGAGGCTTCTGTAGCGCATGCTCTCGTTGAATGCACGGCATTGTGTCTGCACTACCGACTCAAAAATACCAGCTGTACATAATACCAAAAAATAATATCAAAACTTCTCCAAGGACTTTATTTTGTGTACTAACTTCATTGGGGGCAGATAATTTAATTAAAACTAGCCGAGAGCTCGATGGCGCAAGTGATTAGCGCGTTCGGCTGCGATCGTTGAAGTTAAGCAACTTTCGAAGTGATCGGTCATTGGATGGGTGACATAAAATTTACTATGTCGAGCTCCTCCGTGCTTCGGAAGGCACGTTAAGCCGTTGGTCCCGGCTGCATCTGCAGTCATTAGCACCCACCAATCCGCACTGGGCCTGCGTGGTGGGTCATGGCCCAATCTCCCTATTCCATCCATAGGAAAAGCCTGTGCCCCAGCAGTGGGGACATTAATAGGCTGATGATGAATGCTAGCCAATATTGAGAAGCTCGATAGTTCAAGTTTTAAGTTAGTGTGATCGGTCTTGGAACGTACGTGAAGGTCGGTTAATATTATTAAAAAAAAAATTGCGGAAAAGTAACCTAAATCGTTGTGAATTGGCTAAGTAAAGTTTCTAAGGTAAGCCAAAATTCCCGGTTTATACATATTGACAATTTAGACAAAGATTATTGGTTCCGTGTTGTCTTTCTAATGAAAGTTGGCTTAAATTATTACCATCACATGGTACGTAAACAAACTCCACACCTAAGTGCAAACAACGCTAGAATTTAGTTCAGAGTAACTCATAAGGAACTAGTGGACAGCAAGGAAGTTTAGTCAGCGTCGTTGCGGTTCCTAGGTAGTTGTGTAATTATTAATTTCGTTATTTAAAAATAAATATAATTAAAGACAAACTCACCTATTTGATAAGATATATCCCGTGTTTCCACATAGCGAATTTGTGGCGTGCATGTCCTAATGGTAATGAAAATAAAAAACAAAAGACGCCACATTGTGAAAAAGTTCTCACGTAAACATTTTAACTCCAGTATTATTCTACTAAACTCGAGCTTTCGACGTCTACTAAACTAAAGTCAGTTTAGCCGGCCGCCCAAACAAAATTAAATGACCACGGATTTGAATACGTTTGGATGAGGCATTATAAGGTTATCTGTTATAAGACACATTGTTGTATATTATCAATTTGTCAATACACTCATATTGAGCATTTTTTTCTGTAACTATATATATTTATAAAACGTGTGGTACATAATTAATTTGCATTAAAATAATGGTCGTTTACAATACTATTTTATAAAATAAAGCTAAGTCGTCGGATAATAACAACAATATATAAAAATAACCGTGTATAAGAGATAGCTCTATATTGTTATAATATTTATAACAATAAGTAGTCGAATGTGATAATATTCTTATGTACTTTAGTAGTTTATGATATTTTTATTTTAAGCATTGATCTACTTGACTTATAAATCTAAAGAAATCTCTTGAAGTTTCTCTGCTATCCTATCCCGAAATGTTATTGCTTTTAAATATGTATATATGAACGAAATAACGGGCGGCCACTAGTATATATATATATATATAGTTATATTCTTAAGTTTTTAAGCATATGACTGCTGGATGTTAAACTCGAAAGAAAATTTTACTACAAAAATTTCCACACCGACCAGTCGCTATCCGGGCCAGTGCACTATAATATATATCTCAGTCATTTTTTAATAAGTGCACATATCCAGATTTTCGTAGATTCTTTACATCTCTTACTCGCTTAGCGTTTCCGCAGTATACGCAATATTGAAATGCCCAATCGCTATGCACGTTCCTGTCGCGTCGAGACGACGACGCATGACCTAAAATGTTGTCCAAAAATACCCCACTCTCTGCGAAGACGGCCGCCGAGCCACATGCCCGTCAATTTCGCACATGAATGGTCCAAAACATGACAACATGGCCGATGAAAATTGCTATAGTTCTAGTATTATATATTATTGCCACAGAAGCCGCGCTGACTATGCGAACAGCTAGTTTCCCTATAGGTAAACAGTTATCACAATTCAACAATGCCCTATGTAACTCGATTTAAAAGCTTTTCTTTTGTTTTCAGGCGGTTTGTTTAACAGCAGAACGGCGGAGAGTTCATATCAAGCTTTCGAAAGGATCAGTCGGATTGGTGGTACGAAATCATACCATGGCCGTGCTTTGCAGTCGCAAGTTGTGGACAGCTATTCGACTGCGTTAGATGGTAAGTAATATACTTCTGTTAGTTTCCGCCCGCGACTTCGTACGCGTCATAGTCTTAGATTAAAACAAAAAGGGTAGATACGGCACTAGCCTCACAAAAGTGATCCGCACCAATTGTGGTCCACGACCCTAATCGCTTTAGTCATAACTTGACATGCAAACGACGTACATGTGAACGCCAAAAAGAAATATTGCTAATATTTTGTGTTTATATGATAAAACAATCCCTAAGTGTGTTGTTAAAAAGTGCTCAAATTGCTCAAGAACTAAAAATAAAACCCACGGCATCACTTTTCATTCGTAAGTACTATAAAATATATTTTTTCATAAAAATTTTTGTTTGTTTTGAATCTTATTCGGTAGTGACGTCGAATACTGGTCGCCTGATTGGTCGGTAATGCAGTGACGCGGATCTCGCCGTCTCGTTTGCGCTGCCGTTGAAACTTAACGTGCTGTTTCGTTCGGGTCGGTAATGCAGTGACGCGAATCTCGCCGTCCCGTTCGCGCTGCCGTGGCGTGGGATCAGTTTTTGTTTGATGAAAGTATGAGCGTACCGTATCTACCCGTTTTGTTTTAATCTAAGGTAATTGTTTAACCATCCCACAGGAAGTTATAATTTTTTCGGTTTAAAAAGTATACTATGTGTCAACCTAGGCAATAAATTAGGAATACACCAAAATTTCATCCAAATCTGTTTAGCGTGAAAGAATAACAAACATCCATACATACATTCAGACAAATTTTCGCGTTTATTATATTGGCAGGAGTAGGATAGTAGGACTTTAAAATAATCTTGAACTAGTTGTTTGTTCACATTGTACTAATAAAATTTGTAAATCGTTGAAAAAAGACAAATTACTGGATCAACATCTAGATTTTGAACTTTAAACGAGTTATGGTTAAATGTGTTACTAGTGGCCGTCCGATACTTCGTCCACGTTAATTTTAATTTTTTGAGAATCCCACAGGAACCTAACATTTATCCTGGATGAAAATAAATAAAATAAATAAATATTTCCAACACTCACACCAATTAGCCTAGCCCCAAAGTAAGCACTGTAAGGCTTGTGTTATGGGATACTAGGGTAACGGATAGAATACATATAATTTATACATATATAAGTATATTTATATAGAAATACATATTAAACATCCATGACTGGAGTACAAATGCTCGTGTTCATCACACAAACATCTGCCCCCACCGGGATTCGAACTCGGGACCTCTCGAGTCGGCGACGCCATGAAACCCGGCGTACAAACCACTCGGCCACGGAGGTCGCCGTAAAAGTATCCTATGGCTCAATTCATGTCATAAACTATACGCGTACCAAATTTCATCCTAATCCGTTCATTAGTTTTTGCGTGATTGAATAACAAAAACGCAAATACACAAACTTAAACATTTATAATACACTCCCGGACTCTTGAATCGAGCCACCTTACATTCCCGGGCCTAAAAGCCAAAAAATATACAATATAACAAAAAAGTTTTTATGCATTTTTAATGCTGGCATATTTCATCGTCTTTCCCGTATGTATTATTACAAATTTGAATTTTATAATTTAAAATAAAGAACAAAAGCCGAGCTTGGTCACTGATTTGAAAAAAAATAATAATCATAATCAAAATCATTTATTCAGTTTAGGCTGTTACAAGCACATATGAATGTCTAGAAGCTACGCCATCGGTTCGTAAATCTACGGCGGGAGACCTTGTACTGAGAAGAACCGGCAAGAAACTCAGCAAGGGCTGTTTTTTTCTCCCTGTTTTATTATTTACAGAGTCGTCAAATTGAAAAATGACTTCAGAGGTGATTCATGAAGTCACTTTTCATTACATAATTATTAAATATACATTAATTGTTTAATGACTGTTGAAAGTTGCTTTTGAAGCAATTTAATGTCGATTTGGTTTGAATTTTCCCAATTGTTGTAAATCAAAGTTTAGTTTAGTTATTTTTCTATAATTTGAACCGTTTTTGGCTATAAAATTATGGATACTTCACCTAAAGTAGCCGCGCAAGCTGTAGCACTTCTTCAATCTGGGCTAAGTCAGCGAGATGTGAGTTCACAACTTCACATAAGTCGTTCCGCTGTTCTAAGAGTGTACCACCGATACCTGGAGACTGGCGGCTTCGTTCGGCGAACAGGAGAACCTCGTTACCGAGTGACAACGGCGAGACAAGATCAATACATTGTCACTACTAGCTTACGAAATCGACGCCTTAACTCTGTTCAGATACAAGAACAGCTCAGGGACTATCACGGAATGGCTGTAAGTGCTCGGACCGTTAGAAGGTGACTCAGTGAACGTGGTTTAAACTTAGACTAAGACAAAAAGAGTAGATACGGTACGCTCATACTTGCATCAAACAAAAACTGATCCCACGGCAGCGCGAACGGGACGGCGAGATCCTCGTCACTGCATTACCGACCCGAACGAAACAGCACGTTAAGTTTCAACGGCAGCGCGAACGAGACGGCGAGATCCGCGTCACTGCATTACCGACCAATCACGCGACCAGTACTCGACGTCACTACCGAACACGGAGCACCCCCACTAGAGTCCGCATACAAGGGCAAGCGCTTACGCCAAGCTTAAGTAGTATATTACCTATGCGTGAGGCACACCTACAGACGTCGCGATACATCGTTTCATTCGGTAACCGAGCGTTGGTCGAACTGCTTCTCTCGTTTTCGTGTTAAAAAACTGTAAAAAATGCCGTACTGTGCAATTAAATTGTGTGGAAAGTCGAGTACAACTTCCAGTCTTCAAAAAAATGGTATTACTTTTCACTGGTTAGTTTAAATGAATTACAAAAAGACAAAAATACTGTTATATTAAATTGCTGTTAATGTATTTGGTGTTGTTATTTTTTGGTGAACGCGTTGATGTCTTTTTACACTATCCCTTTCTCGCATGGGCTACATCATATATGCTATCTCGCTCTCACACCGGCACGTGTATTGCTAGTGACTCAGACGCAGCTCATGTCTCAACGCGTAAGTTTGTCGATAAGTTTGTCAGCTATGGAAATGGAAAAAATAAATAAAAAATGGTTGCCTGTAAAGTCGGTTTTACGGGCGAAGATTTTACTTGACAACGTCTTTTTCTCGGTAGAATATTTATTGATATGAATATAATTAAATTGCACAATAGGAACAAGGAATTGAATGAAAATAAGAATTGCACAAATTTTAACTATAGAAATATATTTTGTTTACTAAAACATTGTACATGTAAACTTAAACTCATCGTAACGTTACCGAGCGTTACACTTTTTCATAAGTGACTCCCAGCCGCAACCTAATTTAAGACGTTGTCACGTCAAAACTATTTATTTCATCGTATACAATAATAGATGTCATAAGTATACAACCAACAGTTTTTATTTGATTGAAGTCAAACATAATTATCCTAATAAAATTTAAAAAACGCGAAAATTTGTATGCATATTTGTTACTCTTTCACGCTAAAACGGTTAAACGGATTTGTATGAAATTAAGTGCGCATAGTTTATGACCTAGATAAAGACATAGAATTAACGATATTAAATACCCTAGATACACCACGACCGCTCAAAATGTGTCCCAATATCTAAATAGTCTGTGGTCCCAATCAAGAAGTGCTTGAACTCCACTCAAGCACTTCTTAGTACACAGTCACACGCGGACCGTTGAAAAGTCAAGATGCCAAAGAGTTCCGTGAAAAAATGCAGAAATATACTAATAGTACGTAAAGTGTCGTTTTTTCGACGGGTATCTAATTAATGTTTTTTTATTAACGCCTTTAAAGCAAATTTTATTGTTGTAATACTTACTATAAACTGATTTAATTTAAAATATTTGTGATATTCAAATGCATGGTCGGTTATACGTCGCCCTTAGCCATCTCTTTTCTTCGCGGTCTGTACCTGCTATATTGTTAACAGCGCATTCAGAATTGCGCGTGAAAAGTAAAAAAAAAATAAGGTCTATATTCTTTCACATATAACACTAAATCGTAAAATTTTACGAACTTGACGCATGCATTTTAATTAAGACCTTATGCCGTATGCATTAAAGGTGACTTTCAATGTTTAAATAAGGCATTATATTGTTTTTGACCATGCGATCATCTTACGGACCTCCGTGGATCGTCCAATGTACCTTTTGGACACGTTTCGGCCACGATTTTGTTCGTGTTGTTGTATCTAGGGTAGTTAATATCGTTGCATTAATACTTCTTGTCCTGGACGTGTTTTTTTTTGTGTTGCTTACATATTAAATTATATGTAGTTACTAGTCGCGTCATGTAATTAGAACGCTGTAAGAAAGTGGAGAGGGTATGATTACGCATTTGCGCACCAAAGTACTAGGCCTCTATTCTAAATTGTTTATCGATAGAAAATATCGATATTTTCTAAAATCGATCTTACCCTCATCACTTCGCTGCACTGAGTATATGATCTGACCTTGACGCGTCCAATCACAGCGGGGCTGACCTCCCTGCACCCCACCGACTTTGGCGATTTTGATTCCAAACAAAATTTGTGTGATGCGGACTCTAGTGGGGGTGCTCCATGCTACCGAATAAGATTCAAAACAAACAGCAATTTTTATGAAAAAATATATTTTATATTACTTACGAATGAAAAGTGATGCCGTGGGTTTTATTTTTAGTTCTTGAGCAATTTGAGCACTTTTTAAAAACACACTTAGGCATTGTTTTATCACATAAACACAAAATATTAGCATTATTTCTTTTTGGCGTTTACATGTACGTCGTTTGCATGTCAAGTTGTGACTAAAGCGATTAGGGTCGTGGACCACAATTCATGCGGATCACTTTTGTGAGGCTAGTGCCGTATCTACCCTTTTTGTTTTAATCTAAGGGTTTAAAGCCCCATAAGCCAGCCAATGGACCCAAATTGACACGAGCACACCGAATAGCCCGTCTAGAGTTTGCGAGCGAATATCTAAATTGGGGACGACATCAATGTAGCCAGGTTCTCTTCACAGATGAGTCCAAGATAATGCTATAGGGTAATGACGGAAGGAGTAAGGTGTACCGAAGACAGAACGAGCGTTTCGCGCAATGCTGTATTGACGAGAAAGTGAGTTATGTTGGAGGATCATGGATAGTCTGGGGAGGAATCTCTATGGAAGGCAAAACTGAGTTAGAGGTAGTGACGGGACCACGACTGCCGCCCCTAGATGGCAATAGATACATTCGCCAAGGTTTAGAGAACCACGTGATGCCATATGCTGGATTTATTGGCCAAAAGGACACCCGGCATTTTGTGCCAAAGTTGTATACTTGTTTAATTCTTTTATCTGTGTTTCATAATTGGGTAACGTGGTCTGGCAATATTTGTCTTCAGCAGCTAGCTGTCAATGTCAAATACGTAGGTTTGTCATCAAAAGGGTTTCTATATCAAAAAATATTAATCATTAAATAACTTCTTTCCACGATTCACTAAAAATAAGGCTAAAGTAGTTCTATGTAGCAAATAATTTTGGAAAAAATTCCACGCGGACCAGGCAGCAGACGGGACTCGAACCCGCACCCTTCGCAACCCACATTGTGGGTTTACCTATAATGCGAAGAGATGGCGCTGCCCTGCAGCTTAAGAATAGCTAGAAAGAATTTCGACGCGGTCCATGAGGGCCGCGGTAGCATAATTGGTCAGTGCATTCGCCCGGATTGCGAAGGGTGCGGGTTCGAGTCCCGTCTGCTGCCTGGTCCGCGTGGAATTTTTTCTAGTTATATTTTCTTTAGATTTAAACATCAAGTAGTTACATGCTTTAAAAATAATAAAAATTATAACTATAATTGCTATTTCTTCTTTCAAATGTTTAATACTTGTAAAAGTATTCATTTGACATTGTGGGTTTACCTATAATGCGAAGAGATGGCGCTGCCCTGCAGCTTAAGAATAGCTAGAAAGAATTTCGACGCGGTCCATGAGGGCCGCGGTAGCATAATTGGTCAGTGCATTCGCCCGGATTGCGAAGGGTGCGGGTTCGAGTCCCGTCTGCTGCCTGGTCCGCGTGGAATTTTTTCTAGTTATATTTTCTTTAGATTTAAACATCAAGCAGTTACATGCTTTAAAAATAATAAAAATTATAAAATAATTTTGGCTTTATTTTGAGACCAAATTCAAGTGTATACAAGTTTAGCATTTTTTCTATGAAAAGTGCCAAGTCTCCTTTCGTTTTAATGCATGATAATGCAAGGGCCCATACTGCGGGAATCGTCAGGGAGTACTTAAATGACATTGGCATCACTGTTATGAGATGGTCAGCGCGAAGTCCTGATATGAATCCTATAGAGCATCTATGGGATGAGCTGAAGAGGCGAGTTCGAGCTCATCATCCTGCCCGGCAAACCATGCAGGAGCTCAAAAATGTAATTTTGGAAGAATGGGAGGACGTTCCTCAACATGTCATAACGACATTGATTAATTCTATGCCAAACCGTATGAGAGCTGTCATGAATGCACTGGGAGGCAATATAAGTTACTAAATAAACATTTCTTTTCATGTAAAACATGTCTTTATTTAAAAATCGATTAGATTTTTTTTCTTGAAAAAAAGGAAATATGGACTTGTTTCAACGTAAATCGACTTTTTTAATAAACTGTAGTTCAAATTTAGAACAGTGGCACTCTAAATGAATGATGAGTATACCAGCTCCAAAACTGCATCAAAACATTTTCCTTCTACATACATCTTTTATAAGTTACAGTACTCCAAACCAAAAAATCAAGGTTGATTTAGGTGTCCGGGAGTGTATTACTAGGAGTGTTTGTCCTAGGATTTTTCTATATTTAACTTTCCACTGCATATTCACTTGGGGGTTGAATTGAAAGTTACTAATGTAATATTTGAGAGTAAAAAAATGTATTGCCACCATTAAATTATGTATAAGGTTTTCTCGCAAAAGTGTTGAAAAACGTTGTATGACATTCGTGCGGATTGGTACTACAAACTCGTTGTACTCGTTTGTAATAACCAACTTACCGCACAAATAACTATTTTTGATAATAACAAGGAGCCAAACTTAATGTCAAATCATATTATCTGCTTACTTAATTTGTATCTACTCTTTTCCAGTATGTTCCTTTACATCAGACGGTAAAGGTGTTGCTGCCCTGATAGACGCTAGACCTACTGAGGGCATATGCGACACAACTTGCTTGATCAGCAACAGATATAGCGTAAGTCACCTTTTTAGGGTTCCTTAGTTCTGAGAAGGCACCCTTATAGTTTCATCATGTCTGTCGTAATGACACCGTAAAGTGGTAGAATAACATTTAGAAAAATATTTTTTTAGGGCAGGTCCCCTACATGTAGGTTTGCAACGATATATCGGAATATCGATAATATCGAGACCAAAATATCGAAATTTATATCGATATTTGAAATTCACTGATATCGATAATATCGATATCGGAAATTTCAAAATATAGATATTTCGTAGACTAAATTTAAACACAATAATATCAATTGATTTACCTGCTATGACTATCTAAATTTAATAATATCGAAATAACTATTGCTTTGAAATCGCAAGAGCTTATAGATGTATTAAAAAATCTAGAACCCCAAGAAATATACTAAACTACAACAGTGTATCCTTGTCATTCTCTATACTATAAAAGGAGAGACTGATGTTAAATTTAGTTTTAAGTTTAGATAATCATGCCAGAATCGACATCAACGTATATAGGTATAATCGTATACCTAATGGTAACTCATGCATTTAAATAAAATACTTGCCTCTCTTTCTAGATAATTGTCAACTACTGATGAATTAAAATTTAATATCATTGTAATATAACACAAAATAAAATTAAGAATCTTATACAAATCGTATTTTTTTAAGCTCGCCAAGTCAAGAAAGTAAGATAGGTATAGTAATTTTGGAAGCTTTGGGCTTACCCTATTCTGAAGCCATGGGCACGCCCCTGATGTGTAGGTTTTACTAATACATAACAATTGTTTTTCATATGATTATCTATTCTGATTTCGGCTGCATGCAAACATTTTGAACAAAAAAAATATCTTTGATTCGAAATTGCTTTTGATTTGATACTTCTTACAGCGCTATAAAAATATAGCTCCCTTAATTATAGGTCTTTGCTTTGCAAACTTAATACAAAGCAAAAAAAAAGAAAAAATATCGGTATATCGATAATATCGAGTTAAAATGGTCGATATATCGGATATCGATATTTTCCTGACTTCGATATAAATATCGATATTTCAAAAGACTTTGCATCCCTACCTACATGTAATGTGGGGGTTTTTTTTTTACTAATGACTACCCCATTATATGAGGTATCGTCCTTTAAAATAATTTAGGAGCTGCTAAGGCTATTTTTCGATTGAAATCCGTTTGCGAAGTATTAAACTTTAAAGTGCTATTTTAAAGTTTAATACAAAATTTTGGAAAAAATCATGATGATAGCTTATAATATAGCTTTTCATCAACTTTTAAGCAAAACTATAACGGTTAAGATAGGGTAGTTTAATAGTAATAGTCACTCAACATATATATTAGAAAATTTGTTCCCCAATAAATTTCATTAAAAGAAAACATTAAAAATGACTTAGATGAAGTAATTGCTTGTTTATTTTGATAACAAAACGGATAAAGATACGGAATCCTACACTGCGCGTGGCACGACACGTGCTTGGACGGGTTCTTATAGATAATTTGACAATAACATTTTCCACCTTTTCCTACTCATTCCCTAGACCAGCTATACTCTAAGTGTGTTCCGCGGAACCCTAGGGTTCCGTGATACCTCTGTCGGGGTTCCGCAAGAATTTAGAAATAAAAAAATCAAAACACCTCTCTCTGGTCGCTCCGCGGCTGTGCGGACTCCGCGGCCGCGCGGAGACAAAACGCTATGAATGTTATTTATTTATTTATTTGTATTTGTATAAGCTTGTGTTACATTAGCTGGTACAATATCTCATAAGTTTGGTCTCAACAATTTTATACTTGTACAACGCGTTCGCTCTAAGTTTGCCGGTCTGTGGAATGCGCGTACCCTCCCCCACGTGACAACAAAACTTATAATGTGTCATAGTTTTACCCAAATATCTAACGTACACAATTTTTATTGTTACAATTAAATAAAAAATTTCGAACGTCATACACTCATACCTATCGCCAGCGGCAAACTTAAAACGAGCGGGTAGTATACTTGTAAGCGCTCAGTCTCTTTGATAAAAGCCGCCTCTGAATTAGACGCTATAGTTGTCAACTAGCGACTTTCGTCTCTAACTTCAAAGGATAAAGTCGATATTGTTTACAACGCTATTTTTAAATTTCTGTTTTTATTTTTGCTTTTTGTTTATCAAAGGTGCCGACTCGAGTATTTTCGAGAATATTTGAGATCGAGTCTAGGACTAAGTATAAAAGCGGCGATCGCGCGTTGGCGTCGTCAGTTGATGATTAGCGTTCGGAGCGATAAGTTACTACCTACTTACAAGCTCGCTAGCGAGAAACTGGTGTTCATTGTTTTACTGCCTGCTGTATTCTGTTGTCTCAGTTTTATACATTTCTTCCCTGTAGGTTCTAAATTTAGTCTCTTATACGCAGTAACGATTGTGCATTATTTAAACCCCACTATCCTGACTTGTAACATTATAAATAAAGAAGAATGGAACGTTGGCTTAAAGGTGTTAAACGTGTTCCAACAACATCTTCTAATGACGCTGAATGTTCAAAAGCAATGCGCGCGGAGAATTTAGCAATCACCGATCCAGAAGATGATGCCACGAGTGCCACGACGTCAAGCTCGACGGTTTCAAAGACGAAAAAAAGGAAGTATGATGAATCTTATATCAGTTTCGGATTTGTTGATTCCAACGGCTCACCTCTCTGCATGCTCTGTAGTAAACTGCTTCCTAATAGTTCCATGGCACCTGCCAAATTGCGTCGACATTTAGAAACCGTACACCCCGAGACTAAAGACAAGAATAAAGAATTTTTTGTTCGCAAAAAAGATCAGTTATTAGAAAGTCAAAAAAATATGATGCATGTAACACAAACTACCAACGAAAAGGCCACGGAGGCATCATACTTAGTTAGCTATCGCATTGCACAAGCAGGTGAAGCGCACACTATCGCTGAGAAATTAATAAAACCATGTGTATTAGACATAACAAAATGTATGCTTGATGAAAAATCTGCAAAGCATCTTTCTACTGTTCCGCTATCAAACGATACTGTTTCACGACGAATCCATGATCTGGCAAGCTACGTCAAACAAGAACTAGTTACACGTCTACAAAATACACGATTCGCTTTGCAAATGGACGAGTCGACTGATGTCGCTGGTTTGGCTATCCTGCTGGTTATTGTGAGATATCCATATAAAAGTTCTTTTGAAGAAGACATGCTTATGTGTTCATCGCTGCTTACAAACACTACCGGGGAAGAAATTTTTAATAAAATAAATATATTTTTTGAAGAACATAATCTCAGTTGGAACAATTGCATTGACATTTGTACAGATGGGGCCAAGGCGATGACAGGTAAAACAGCAGGAGCAGTGTCACGAATGAAAAATAAAGCGCCTAATTGTAGTTCCAGTCATTGTATTCTGCATAGACAAGCACTTGCGATGAAGCAAATGCCGTCTAATCTAAAATTAGTTATGGATGAAGCGGTAAAAATAATTAATTTTATCAAATCACGACCACTACAATCCCGATTGTTCTCATTATTGTGTGAAGATTATGGCAGCAAACATAAAACACTGCTGCTCCATACAGAAGTGCGATGGCTGTCTCGGGGAAAAACTTTAACAAGGCTATTTGAACTTAGAGCCGAGTTACAAATGTTTCTTTCAGCAGATACTTCTTTTAATTTGAAGGACCGTTTGTATGATAAAACTTGGTTGTTCCGATTGTCTTTTATGGCGGATATCTTTCAAAAACTTAACGAATTAAATTTATCATTGCAAGGTAAACAGACAACAGTGTTTCAGGCCTATAATAAAATAACTACTTTTAAAAGAAAATTAGATTTTTGGATCATTTGCATTGGTAAGAAAGAAATAGAAAGTTTTACGTTACTCACTGAGTTTGTTAGCGAAAACGACTCAGAAATGTTTGAAGATAATGTGTTTGAAGAATTGGTCCAATATCTCAGTTCGATGCGCGCATCTTTTGAAAAGTATTTTCCCGAAGAACACAATACAAAAATTAAAGTGAACTCCTGGATTCATAATCCTTTTTTACCCAACTTGGAAAAGCCTGAAAACATGTCAAATGAGATATATGAATCTCTTTTAGAAATGTCATCAGACACAAGTATGGAGTCATTGTTCAAAACGACGCCTCTTAATGATTTTTGGTGCAGAATCCAAGATGAATATGCAATGCTTGGCCAAATGGCTCTGGATATTCTTCTCCCGTTCCCAACTACATATTTGTGCGAAACAGGATTCTCTACCTACGCAGCCACGAAAACAAAATATCGCAATAGACTGGACGCCGAAGCTGATATGAGACTCCAACTTTCTTCCATCAAACCTGATATCAAGCAATTGATGAAAAATAAAAAACAGTTTCATACCTCCCACTAGTTAGATTTTTTCTTTTTTAATGTTTTCTATTATTGTCCTTACCAAGTGGTGAAGTAAATAATAATTAGTAACGGATACATTGTACTTTTATTATGCTGATTAATATAGAATACACTTATAAAAATAATTGTTTTATTGTAGGGTTCCATCAAGTATTTTGCTTCCCAAAAGGGTTCCGTCATTTAAAAAGTTTGAGAACCACTGCCCTAGACCTAAAATGGAGCGACTCATCCATTAAAAATTCTGGGATATGCCCACTTTGTCGGTGTTATTGATGTACGTTCCTTATTGGGAATCGATCTCACAGTCCCGGGGGAATCCCAGGCACATAATTCTCAAGGCATCCTCCTCATACAGCAGGCTGTGCAATGCGTGGGTTTACCTTTTCGGTTTCGAGGGTCGCGGCGGAGGTATTCGCACATCCTTAGTTTCATTCGTCTGCGCGGATCAGCTTCTTTCTTGCCAACCTGAACATATCTTACACAGGAGCACCACCAAAACATAGCATTCAGTTACTATGATCCTCTGTAAGGTGAAGGTTACTTCCTTAGGGAAAATCTTTTAAATCTAAAACAAATTTTCAGATCGCTCATCTTGCTATAGGTTGGGAACCTCAGGACACTCTCAAAGAAGACCTATTTACGTTCATGTACTACCCACCACCCGATTTAATATCAAAAGCTTATGCCAAACTCATCAAAGATTTAGAATGGACTAAGTTCACTATACTATATGAAGATGATGGAAGTACGTATGTAATGATTTGTATTTTTATTTCAAGCTGAATACATTTTAATAGCCTGTTGTTTCTCCCGGGAATATTTAGGTTTTATTCGATTACAAGAAGTAATCAATACTTGGCCACAAGACAACCCAAGAATACTGTTCAGAAAACTTGATCCTGAAGGTGACAATAAAGAAATTTTTAAATATATTTTCAAAGTTGCACGGATTACTTATCATATATTAGATTGTGAAGTGAACAATGTGCATAAATATATGGAGGAAATTGTACAAGTAGAAAATGCAACAGAATTCTTGGTAAGTAAAATTGATTACATTACTTTCTATATAGTGATTAGGGGGATTGCTAAAATGATGTATTTTACTTAAGAGGCGAGGCGGGCAATGATTTTTCCATACAAACTTTCTCGACTGATTCCTCCTTGATTCTTATCACTAAAGAAATGATTTTCAAACATAAAATACAATTTTTCTCCTTCTATGCTCCTATGTTTTCTTTTTTAGGTTTCCGTAGTCCTGACAAGGACCCCTTATAGTTTCGTCATATCCATTTGTCCGTCCCCGGTTTTGCTTGGATACTATTAGCACTAGAGAGCTGTAATTTTGTGGAGATATGTATATCGATCACGCCGACTAAATGGTAGAATAAATTTTAGAAAAATATAAATTTTTAGCATTATGATATATTTTTATAAAGGATTTTTTTTTCATCATCTACCCCATTGCGTGGGATATCGTTGAATATGTCATTTGAATCCTTCCTTAAAGGAATAATCAAGGATTCTAATTGATTTTGAGTTTGACATGCAGTTTGTATTTGATTTAGGTATTTTAGTTGAGATACATAGATTGATATTAATTGGTTATTCTCATTCCCGGTATGGAAAATAAAGATTCCTGCTTAAATATATTGCTTAAGTATATAACTACACGCAACTACGGACTACTACTCCTACACTGCGCGTGGTACGACACGCACTTGGCCGGTTTTTTTGGATAACTTGTGTTTCAAAAAACACAAAACATAGAGGCATAGTATAACTACTTATTATTCTTTGTGTTTTCATTTATATATATCTAATTTTTGAGGTGAAAATCGTCGAGAGCCAAACCTCGAATTTTGTAACTTTTATACGCAATTTTCAGCATTAACACGGTATTTGCAAATGCGTGACAAATCTAAAATTTCTGTCAGCTCGCGTCCGCTCTTAAGTAACCAGAAAACTGATTTGAAAAGAAAATTTTAAAACCATTTTCAGAGCTTTATTTTGACTAATCTAGACACCTATACTATTAATCTCAAAGATGTCCCAGATTTAATGGCGAATGTTTCAACTATGCATTTGACAACTACAAATACCGATAGATGGAGAGATTTAGGCATGAATCCTGATGAAGATAATATACAAGTATGTGTTACCAAAAATAAAAATAATAAGTTATTATTCATGTTAGAAATCAAACAATTTTGAGTTCAAAATTATATTTTATCATATTTTTAGTTAGAAACAGCATTAGTAGCTGATGCTTTAACTCACATAGAAAAAGCAATGAAGAAAATGCAAGGAGTTGATGATGAAGATGGTCAAGGATTAACGATAGTAGAAGATTTTACCGAGCCACCATCTTTATGCATGAGAGATTCCAAAGCAGAATATGAAGAAGTGGCTTGGTCATTAGGAGAAAATTTACGTGAGATTTTGTTGAACGTAAGAGTTATATACCAATAAAATTTATTTTGTTTGGGAAAAAAATATAATTAAATATGTTATTTGAATTTCAGACAACTGCAAAAGGTTTCACTGGTAATATAGAGTTTGATGAAGACGGAAGAAGAAAAAATTTTATGTTACATTATTCCAAATTAGGACATGAGAGTCAATTTATTTATGTGGGAGATTGGGACTCGACAAAGGACTCTATAAAGAAAGAAAATACTGTTCAGGATCGATCAAGGACGCTTAAGTCGAATAAAATACGGGTAATTGCTTCATCTTAATTATTTTTAATTCAGTCGAGATGTATGCATCCATGTAAGATTTATTCCGTAAAAGGGTTTTATATTATTTGATATTCTGTTAATCTTAAATGAACACAGTAAAATTACTTATCTATGCTACTGTTATTATAAATATAATATTAATAAATAATACTCTTTACAGGTTGCCACTAGACTCGGAAGTCCCTATTTTTTATTTACCGACAATGAAACCAGCCCAATTCCATATCGAGGATATGCCGTTGACCTAATAGATGCAATTTTTAAACAGATTTACAAGGAAGAAAAGGTAAAATTAGAGTACGAGTTTTATCGAGTGGACCATGATAGTTATGGCAACCAAATACCGGGAACTGATAAATGGAACGGTATGATGGGGGATTTAATAGAACATGTGAGTACCTACTTATATTCTGGTAGGATTTTGTTTTGGTAAAACAAAAATTGGCTCGTTCTTTTTACCTGTGTTACAGAAAGCTGATCTGGCGATATGTGACTTAACAATCAATTCTGAGAGAAATAATATAGTAGATTTTTCTACACCTTTTATGACCTTGGGTATCAGCATGCTGTTCAGAGAACCTGATCCGGAACCACCGGACATGTTTTCTTTCCTTCTGCCTTTAGATCTGGACGTTTGGCTGTATTTGGCAACGACCTATATAATAGTGTCATTCGTTCTACTTATATGCGCGCGGTAAACTATCCTTATCTTGTTTTATTGCAAGTGTTTAAGTGCACCTCAGATTATATTTATCGTTTTTCAGAATGAGTCAAGATGACTGGGTCAATCCGCATCCTTGCAACCAAAATCCTGAGAATTTGCAAAATATTTGGAGTTTGTACAATTGCATGTGGCTTGCTATGGGCACAATTATGACACAAGGGTGTGATATATTACCAAGGTGAGATTATTAATTGAATGGAAATCTTAATATTATTGTTGTGACATACAATTACATACATCTATGAAGCGGATATATTTTTATTGTTATAATTAAATTTACAATACCATTACTCAAAATTAAAAAAATCGAATTCTTTTTGTGATTTACATTTCCTCAACTACAAAATTATTTTTCCTGAAAAAAGTTACATAATTTCTTTCAATACAATATTGTCAAAACTTTATGCATGATATAGTTTTATAAATTCTATTGTAGATCAGTTGGCTCGCGTTGGGTAGCAGGTATGTGGTGGTTTTTCGCGCTCATTGTAACAGCTTCCTATATGGCCAACATGTCCACTTTCCTCAGTAATAGCCGACGAAGCAACGATATCAATGATGTAAATGCGCTCGCTGACCAAAATAAGGTTTCATACGGAGCTGTCTACAACGCTTCCACTTACAGATTCTTCGAAGTAGGTATTCAAAAGAATATATTTAGTGTAGTTCAATTATGATCGCTTAACGCTATAAGATTTAGCTTTGTTGTTTAATATAAAATTCGCAATCAGAGAAAATATTATAGAGATTGTATAACTTGATATATGTGGATGTCTGTTCATCCTTTTGTATGTGAGATAATCTATTAGTAAAAATGTAGAAAATATACATGGCGTTAAAAGCTTGGGTCGACAGTGGGTATACATTTGTTATGAGACGGACCTAAGCATTAGAACACTGTGGGTACCGCAAATCTTAATATTGGTTGTGAAATAATTTCAACATAATATAAGAAGGTGGGTTTAATATTTAAGACCTGTCATGAATATTTTTTTTAGAAAAGTAATGAATCTGTCTATAAAAAAATTTGGTCTGTAATGAGTTCAGCCAAACCAACTGTATTCGTAAAAAATAATGACGAAGGAAAGGATCGAGTACTTAGAAGTAAGGGAAAGTATGCGTTTTTCATGGAATCTACTGCCATCGAGTATTATACTCATCGAGACTGTGCTTTGAAGATGGTAGGCGGTAACTTAGATTCTAAGGAATATGGAATTGCTATGCCGAAAAGTGAGTTAATATTTTTTTTTCAATTTTCTTACCTAAAAGTAGAAGTTAATATTTCTATTAATTATTGGGACTGGGCTGAATGCACTACTGACTTGCTTGATACTAAAAAATATCCTAGGATCCGACTACATTTATCGGTTCAAACTATTCAGGGGCCCATTTGAATGCACTTTTTAAATTTCATTGAAATCAGGACAGCTTTTTAACAAATCATTACATACACAAGGACAGAAAATATTATATAGAAAAAAAAAGATTATCTATTTCGCAGTACTAAAACTTGATACTAACCCGACTTATCATGTCAATCGTTCATGATAATTACGGGAGCGGTTTCTTTTTCAGATTACCCATTTAAAGCTTGGATTGATCACGCAATTTTGTCTTTGCAAGAGGGCGGTCACTTAACTGAATTGAAGGAAAAGTGGTGGGAAAGAGAAGATAATCCTAATACTGAAGATTGCACGGTAAGCATGGAATCTAATGTGTCCTGGTTGCTATTTCTGTTGACGGAAAGGCGTCACATCTTTTCTACACATAAAAAGAGTGGTGTTGAGAAGATCTCGATAGAAAGAGTCTGTAACTATTAATTGAGAATTATAATTTAAAATAATTTGGAACTATAATTTTTAAGAATTTAGAAAGCCGAGGAATGTCAGGACCAAACACAATCTCAATTACATTGATCGTCATTTAGAAATTTGTATTAATCAAATTTTGAACAAGAGTAGGCAACGTCCAATTAGGTGCACAGTAACTGAAATGCTATATTACGAAATTTTGCAATTTTGCATTACTTATAAATTCAAATTTCAGGCTGGCGATCAAGCTGACGAAGAGGACAACGGCTCGCTTCAAATGAAGAATACGAGTGGTATTTTCCTTGTGTTGGGTATCGGAGGCATTCTAGGGTTCTTGGTAGCCATTGTGGACTTCTTATTGCATGCAAGGCAAATCAGTGTTAAAGAAAGGGTACGTAAACATATTATTAATATTTTTTTCTTTTATGTTTTTCGAAATGTCATTACTTATTTTCATAAAAATGACAAACACACACACACACACACACATATATATATATATATATATATATATATAAGGTCATTATGTGTATTTAAAATGGTAAAAAGTGAAAAAAAAAGAGAACAGGATGTAACCCATTTTAAAAGGAAGAGCACAGAGAACATATAGAAAAAAAGATCAAAAGTAATTTACGGGCAATTTAAGGTCAGGAAGGGTAGGAGAGTGAACTTTTAAGGGGGGAAAACGGTTCTTCTTGATTTCTGGGAAACCAACAACTCCTATAAAAAAAAACAAAGTAAATTACATATCTACAACTTAAGCATTTCAATTTTTTCACAAAACCTATTATTAAATATCTGCGGAACATTACAATGTCCAACTTTTTAATTTCCCAAAAAAGCTTATTTTACTAAATTTAAAAAAAAAACTTTCATTCTATAGCCTGAACACACTCTGATTTTTTAAATCAAAATATTTCTTTTTCGCTTCTTTTGATATTATATCGAAAAATTACCTTTTTTACAATCGATAAATCTCTCGTCTAATAGTTGTTTTTGTCGTGATAATGTCTTTCAAATTGATGAACATCGGCTGCACGCACGAAAAAGTGTGACTTCATGTCATGAGTCACGGGTTTCCAACGTTCAGCGGTGTGTGGTGAGGTCGAGGGCTTCTTTCGACCTGTCCCCTGACGCTCCTGACCACGCCTGATCCCCTGACCCCCTCTTGTCCTCCTCCCCTTTCTGACCCCCACTCCCTAGAAGAGAAACACCCGTGCTTAATCTAACTCGGGCCCTCATAGAGATACAGCAGCGTGCTTGGGTTCATAAAAAGACCGGAAGAAAAAGGCACACAAAACTGCCCCGAAGAAAAAAGCAAAGAACACGTTATCTCGTAAAATTTATCTTTCGTAAACCGAATTTAGAGACAACCATTTTAAAAAACAAATGGTGCGTTATTTATTTTATTTTTCATTTAGGTATACAAAAAAATATATTATTACGGAAAATATTCTCAGAAATTGCAAAAACGTTAATACTACTGTAAATTGTGGGTTCAAATAATTTCCTCAACTCAAGTTCAACAATGCCCCCTTTATCTAGCAGTGTTGTTGCTCCGAAATTTATTTATTTTATCTATTCTTCATGCACATACTGTACAATGGCGGACTAAATGCCCAAATTAATTCATTCACACATCTTCTTTAAACGAATATTTGTAAGGTATATTTATTAGTAACGATAATTATTAATTGGCCGAATGTTTATATGGCCGAATTCGCAATAGTATTCTCTTAAGATGGAAGAATTTTATTAAGCTTAATTACCTTTGGCAAATTTTTATTCTGTATAATTTGTCTAAGCATAATCGGTATTAGTTGTCAGTGTGTCAGCTTAGGTTATTATTGTGACTTAATATTAGCGCGAGCGAAGCGAGCGTGCTTCGGCAGCGGCCGGCGTAGCGCCAGTTAATATAAATAGTAATAGATAAAAACAAGGAAAAAACATAAATTTTTGTACGCCATATGATGATTCTGGCTGTGGACTTTCTGCGATATTATTATGGTTTACCTAACAAAATTATAAGTTTGATAGTCTGCTAAATAAGTGAATGCCAAATAATTTTCTGCAAAATAAAGTTTATGCCATTCACTGATATGTGTAATAATATTATGACATTCAAAGTTCTGCGTTACAAGGTAGATCCGGAAATTGTATGTATAGTGATACTAATGCGATACATCGGTACCATTTGCACCATCAATGGTACTACTGGAATAAATCAGTGTCATTTGTTCCATCAATAGTACTGCCTAATGGAACAGGTGGTCCAGCGGGGTTTCACCAGTCTTGAATAAACTTTAGCGATTTCTGAATAAACTTTAGCGATTTCTGTTTCAAACAAAAATTTGGATTTGGTAAGTGTGAATGCTAGAAATATTGATTTATTTATTTCAGATAACTTTCAAAGAGGCGTTGATGAGCGAATGGCACGCATCATTCAACCCGCGCGCGTTGCATAAACCGGTAGCACCGCCACGGTCTGCTCCACCGTCCACTGCCACGCCGTCGCCAGAGCGCGAGCGATCGCAATCTCGAGCGGTATCGGTCCTACGAGCCGCGTCCTCTTTCATAAACTTCGATGAGATTTATTAAATTCATGGTGCATTTTTAGTATTTTCTTTTTGTCTGCTGCTTTTTCCGTTTTTCTTAAAAGTTAAGCTATAGTCACATATAGAGACACAAAAAGTTAGAGGGTCAATCACCCTCCATCATAGGTAAATTTTGATTTGGTTTCTTATGGCCGCAATCACTTAAAGGCTATATTCAATGTTTGTCAAAGCGAATATCTTCCTACTTTAATTCCACTGTATAAGTTAATAACGTAGGGCCAAGTGAAGGATAGTTTAAAAAGAGCCACAGTATAATAAAAGGAATATCTCTGTATTATACCCGGCCATATGACGTCTGATGACAGCTGTTTATAATGGCGGCATTTCAAACTAGAGAAAGCGAGCCAAGACAGTCTGTAGACAAATCAGAAAAGGGTAGAGATATATGAAACACTTTGCCCCTTGTTACAACGCCACCACTAGATAAATAGCACTGGCTTATTTGTATAAATTTTCTGACATGGTTCTTCATTTAAATACGAAAAGGCGAAAAGGAGGTTTAGAGAGGCTGAAATTGCTACAAAGTTTGTGAGCAGTGGAATCTAAAGTTATCTCAAGCGTGAAGCAGTGTCAGCATTTGTCCTTAGCGTCAGCTCACACCGAGACGCGACTCTGCGTGCACATTTTTACTAGAGCAACTCAAAACATAACTTTATTTACTACACGAAAAGATACACATTTCATTGTGAGCATTCAGAATATGTTGCACCACGCAATGCTACGCCTTGAGGTGCCTCGCGACGTGGAGCGATGCATCGCCAAGCAGCGGTGCATGGCGGGTACGCGCGGCATTCAAGAGCTACGCTTTTACGATGCGCCTCGCGCCAGCGCGCGGAAATCACTGGCCTCTTTCGGTATCGTCGCATCGCGTCTCGGTATGAAGTCACCCTAAGTAGCATTTTTGTTAAAAACCAGACAGCGTTCAATTCAGTTACCGAGTTAATATAGCCTATTTAAGATTCTTTATTGTATTTCTATTTGAAACAGAGGGTGCTAATAACGCAAGTTTCGCGTCTGGTACTGCAGTAATTGTTAGATCTGATATAAACTTGTCAAGTGCGAGTCGTACTCGCACACAGGGATTTGTACTGTCATTTCTTAAATGTTAAAATCTTATTTGTCCGTTAAGTTCAATAAAATAACCTGTTTATTATTTATGAGAATATCATTTGTAACTTGTCCGTTAAGTTCAATAATAACCTTCCTTATTATTTAGAATAGAACTCCGTTAAAATTATTTTATTTGTTGCTGAGGTGATGGCGCAATCGGCCTGCGGTCGTGAAAGTCGAGAAACTTACGCAATGGTCGCTTATTCCACGAGTGAGCAAAAACTTATTATCTCGAACTCCTCCGTGCTTCGGAAGGCACGTTAAGCCGTTGGTTATGGCTGCATTTGCAGTCCTTAGCGCCCACCAATCCGCAATAGGCTCGCGTAGTGGGTCATGGCCCAGTCTCCCTATTCCATTCATAGACAAGGCCTGTGCCAACTCAGGCCTTGTCTATGAATACTGGCGGACGTTAATAGGCTGATGATGATTATTTGTTATTAAAAGAGCAAGATGGTTATAGTACAAAATTTAAGAAATTTTTCATTTCTGATTGAGAACTGAACCAGTATTTGGTCGATTGTAGGTCTTTATTTACCTTTGCGTTTATCAGTGGGGAACAGCCCACTGTATATCATGAACCTTTAGTGACACAGCATAGATGAGGACCTCGATTACGCAGTGTTTAGTGCGTTCCGTCTGCGATCTATGAAGTTGAGCAACCTTCGTTATGTTTTTTTCTAGTAAACTTTTCTTTAGATTTCAACCTTCGTTATGTTTGGCCATAGGATGGGAGACTCAAAAAATGTTAGGACGAATGGGGGCCGTTTAGACAGCTGATGTTTAGTAATAGGATTCTGTGGTCAGTCAAGAGTACAGAAACTGATAAATACATAATTATTATATATGAGGGTGACATATTTTTCATTTTGTAAATTAGATATTATTAATAAGTAGGTTGAGGTAATTTGTATTTAAATTTTATACTTAAGGTAGTTTTTAAGTTGTTATTATTCTATTTTCTTTATATTCTGTAAATAAATATGTACTATTCCAATGACTTTAGATATAAGTAAATAAAACTAATACTAAGTTCTTACGTATTGGTTCTTACCAATACGTATTCTATTTTTTTTGCTTTTTTGTGTTTTTGCCATGGTTTTGCTTCTATGAACTCAGTTTTTAATTTGTCAAAAAAGTTTTTATCATTAAGTTTTTTAAAACATAGCCAATGAACCAAAATCTCAAAAGGCCTTTTCTTATTCATTACTGGAAAAGGCTTGACGACCTGCTTCGCCACTGGGAGCATGCAGCGAGGAATATCTCAATCATATTTCGTAAAATAACTAAACATAAATTGAGAAATGTTTGTTTGATTGTTTTCCCCCGAAAGTACTCATTAGATCTTTACCAAATTTATATGGGACCATCTAATCAAAAAACTGATTCAAACAAAAGAAATATCTTTTCTTTCGCACTCCATCAATTAAAACGTGCTAGCGATTTTCAGTCCGCTATTGTAGCTTATTATGCGTACGCGTATTCAATACTTTCGTATGAAATTGTATTGTGGGGACACTCATGTAACGTTGGGAAGGTGTTTGTTTTGCAGAAAAAATGTATACGATTACTGGCTAACATTGACCAAATGGAATCCTGTAGATCTTTTTTTGTAAAGTACAATATATTAACTTTAGTTCCATCTAAGTATTCTGGAGTCTTGTAAATTTATTATAAAAGATCCAGAATTTTATTCGCCACTAAAAACAATAAAAGGAATAATAGAAACTTAAAAAAATTAAAATTACCGATATCGAAAATGAAATTAGTAGCATCTAGCCCCCATATAATGATGATTAAAATATATAACCATGCTCTTAACTATTTAAATAACTATAACACACCGACGCAATTTATCAAATATTTAAAAGGCTTTCTTATTGCCAAATGTTATTATGACTTAAATGATTTTTTCGATGACAAATCACCCAACCAATGGAATGCTTCAGACTCTTAAGAATTTAATTTATTATGAATGTATTTAAATGAAGAATAAATAACAATATTTTAATGAATTTATGGTGTCGATTCTAGCATGATTCTCTAAACTTTTTTATTCTGTATTGGAAATGATAAGGATACACTGTCGTCAAATTTAGGTTTGGGTTGGAGAGTTATGCTAGAGTTGACACCAAATGCTAATGTATGTATAGAATTATTGAAACTTAATTTATAAATTATATTGTGCAATTGTTTAATAATGAATTTTAAATAGATGTTGTTGCCCTCTAAAGTTGCTGTGCCCTTGCAGGGCGTCACATGGTTACTGTATTTGTTATGTACCACCTTATTTTTGTGAATGTGATATGCAATGAATAAATAAATCAATAGTGAAAATCGCCCCAGGTATTTCGGAGATAAAACAGCAATAAAAATATATTGTAGAATATTTTTTTTACCATCTGCGACAAAACTGTGAAATGACAATATATTCCACAGTTTTGTCGTAACCAGAAGTGTTTATCATAAATACGACTCGAAAACCTTCGAGAAAGGGCGGCACCGCATTTCTGATATTCCTGGTGATACGGCTCACCATCCAGCCGTCTGATCATATGCTTCCTAGAATAGATAGAAACCTCATTTTAAAGTCTGTTAAAACTAAATGCTAATTCTAAATTTTATTCGCTGTAGTTTGATACAAAATTAAAAACAAAATGTATCATTTACTGAACACATTATCTAGTCGGAACAGATCAGTGGCTGAACGTAAGACCGATGACGCTCTGGATGCTGCGTTCGATCCGGATCCAGAACCAGATGCGGTGGAAGATGGCCTGGAGTGCTGTACCGGTTTCTCCGTTTCCCAGAAACTTATGGCAAATATGAGTTCGGCCCAAAAAGCTTCGGATGGTGTCATCTGGATAGGAAAAAGTTCTTTTATGTAGATAGTTGCTCTCAAAAAGATTTGAAAATATTCTCTTAAACTTTCTTCGGAAAACAGGAATAATGTAGATTACGTATTAGATCCAAATTCTTTAAAATATACTAAGGTAGCAATTACTACAATGGGTGCATTAAAAGTTTGCACAATGGGACACCTACATTTAAAGTTATTTATGATACAAGTGCGGTAAGTTGGTAATTACTAACGAGTAGACGAATATATATGTGTAGACGTATATATGTGTTACCATAGTCACGAGTTTGTAAATACCAATTCCCCACGAAAGAAAACAATATGTAAACAGATAATGGGAAAGAAATATGCTATTGATGGATATCACAATTTGGCGTTATTAAAATCTTTCACCGCCTGTGTATGACAAATTACCGATCCTTTGATTATGTTGTTTTCCTTAATTATGAAAACTCTCAAGGTTATTGGGAATGTTAGCAAAATTGTTTTGAGATACTGAATACAAATTTTAAGGTTTGTTACTCCGTCTAGCAAATAAAATTACTTTTTATAGCGGCAAAAACAGGTTGTGTCCAGGGATTAAAATTATAAAACCCGCGCAAACAAAGTCGTTAGCGTGGTTAATCAATAAATCAAACAAAATTTTGTAATATTTATCTCACCGGTGAATCAGGCCATTATGTTTTGATATTTTGCCTTTTTTCGGTGCAAAACAGTTTTTACCTCATTTCATTATCCAAAAACGCAGAAAGGTACTTCGATATATGTTTATATAATTTAGTAGTACCCTGATTGAACTGAAATCGTCGATCGATTAATCGTCTGACCCAACAGACGTTGACTCATTAAAATTTCAGTCAATTTTATTATATCTATAAATACGCCAGTAGCAATATGCCTCATGTAATTTCAGTGGAATCTCAGTTCGAATCAGATCGTAGAAATAATGGGGAGGATTAGTTATACCTTTTGTTCTACAGCCACTTCTCTGACATGCATGAGGAATTCAAACATTCCCATTGCTGCTGCTATACCGCACCCTACTCCTAGTACCACAAACACGCCACCAACGTTATCTACACCCAGCTCTGCTGCTGCTCCATCGTCACCATCCTCTTCCACCTAGAAACAGAGAGAATTAGGTAATCGATCCGTTTCTTTGTAAGTCAAGTGGCTTAAAACCAAAAAGGAAACAAAAAAAAAATATTAAATTTTAATTTCTCCTTCGCTCCTATTTAACTTTAATTTTGTGAGTCAGGTAAAAATGCAATAATATAATTTGAGGCACCAACTTTACAAAATTAAATTTAGTAAATTATGAAACTTACTTCACTAAAGGATTAACGAAAACCATTTTTAATTGGCTGAGAGTCTTTTGATTCAAAACTAATATGTATAAGTATTTTATACAAGTTTGATTTAATTTTAAGGTCAAATTGCTCGTTATTCAATTACTTGCCTCACAAGCCCCAGTGGCGGGCGCCTGCCACCAACGATTCTTGAGCTCAACTAGTTTACCGCTCTCGGCCAACTTTAAGACGGCATTATCTACAGCTGTGCGGTATGATGAAACTGAAAATTTGATGTAATAATAAAAAAATACCGCAAACTGCGAACAGTAGCAAGATTCTGTATAATAAAATCTTACTACCGAGTTGATCCAATTTTAGAAATTATTTAAATAAACATAACTGTTAGGAAAGCATATAAGTCATATTAGTACTATTTATTTAATTAGATATTTGGCTATTTTCAAAAAAATGAATTAACGGAATCGAAAGTGAGATTGCACGTTTCAACATCGGTATGCTGATCACAGAATTAAAGACATAATATTTAGGGCATGACATCAACAAAAAAAAATAACACTTCTGTGAGCAATAATCGTATTTCTTAGATCCAAGTTGTTGCGTGGAAATAGTACTGAAAGTTTGTCGGTTCATTCCTGAAAAAAAAACATGAAATTACCCTCCCTGTCGATGGGGGTTTCCAGTAACTGTACGAAAATGTTCACATTCTAGGTGCATTCTGTGTTTAGCACGAATGGAATCACTTACAGAAAGGCATGGCTATTCCGTATCCCTTGGAGTCCAGTAAGCCCCCTACTTGCATTAAGTCGCAGTGCCGTTCCAACTGATATTCGATAGCAGTTGACTCCATGAAGAATGCATAGGTCCTTTTACTTTTCAGCACTCGTTCTACACCTTCGTCGTTGTTAGCCATGAATACTGATGGTTTTGCTGAATCCATGGCTCCCCACATTCTTTGATATATCGATACGTTGGACCTCTAAAATTTTTAATGAAAATTAAAATTACGGTAAAGAGGTACGTAATTTGGACTAAATTCAATATTAAGTGTACTAAACAAATACCATAATCATTCAGTAAGAGTTGTGACATTGTCGTTCTATTTTGATTTATCTGTGTATAATTTTATGCATGACATGTAAGTGTGAGAAAATTAGAACGCTGAAATAAAGGAGATTGCTCAAATTGGCCCAAATGTACAAAAAATATTGACATATACGGTAATACTTGGCGTAATTTATACTTTATTTTACAGTCATTAGATTTTAACGGACACCTTTGTATAATATATTAATTTTAAAAAGGACTTTTAATTTTACCGGTTTGGAAAACATACGAATCATTTTTAATGGCTATGGGTGCAGTAACATTCAGCCAAAGACTGATCGAAGTTGTTTATATAACATCAAAACAAATCAATTTTGTAAAGATCGATAAAAAAAAACATTTTTTTTATTACACTGTGGTATTAATATCCACAACTATATTATTATTTTCACTACATGCAAATGTGCTAAGACAATTATTATAGATGGAAGGCGACATCATAAAGTCTATTGACATACATTTTACAAACACCTCTATAAACACATTATAAGGCGTGATAAACTAAAAATCTAAAATATGGTTATAATATAAACATAACAAAAATAATGAAGCAGATATGGTTGTATAACCTAAATCTCCTAACTTTCTTTGGTTAACGACAGTTTAAAGATTCTCTCTTCTTCTTCTTTTAATATGCCATGATGGCTAGAAAAAAAAACTCTCTAATCTGTGGCTCATTCTCAATCATCACACAGTTTCTGTAACAGAGTACCTTATTATAACCGGAAATGCATAGATGATACCTGATTTTAAAAGTTACTCTTGTGCATTAACTTTAAAAACAGGCAACTATATGTTAATCTACATGCTCTATATACCTAAATCTAATACATAATTTCGGGACTTGGCTTGATTTCCTTAGTTAACTATATAACTTATTTGTTTTTATTATTTTAATACCTATGTACCGATTTGCAAACATAACCTCAAAATCATTCAGTGTATATGAAGTGGTTTATAGAAGTTCTCAGGGGTGTCCGTCAATAATATTCGTTTCTACAGTAATTTATTTATAATTTCGAATCTAGGAAACAATTTTTCATGATTATTGGTCTTTAGGCCAAACATGTATGGAAGCTGAGCAATCTCCTTTAATATGTTCTGGAATTTATCTGAGAACATGCACGAGCAGAAAAACAAATGTAACTATTAGCATTACACATACGGTCGTAATTGCGCATGGATATGAGGCATTTAATGGTCAAGTTTTTAAATTGCATGCAGTAGCCATATTAACAACTTGTACATTTTATCTTTATTGAGGCTATAGTACATTACTGCAGCGGCCAAAAAAAGAGGAATTGACGGACGAAAGTGAAAATGTGGGCCGAGGCGAAGCCGAGGCAAACATACGTAAGTCCATCAATGCCTAGTTGTGGCCAAGTTCTATAGTACTTTTCTCAAATAATGAGCGAAAATTAAAACTAAGTGGTACCTAGCAGAACTTTCCAAATTCTGCAAAATCAATGATGAAAAACTAACAACAATTTTCCTGTGTTAAAGTGTTCGTTTGTATTTTTTTTCATCAACAGCTACCTCTCGAAGCCCGGTTCGAAATTAAAATAAAAACCTTTGATAAGTTATATCCTTGGTTGCCATGCTCCGGAGTACAAGATCGTTCCATTTTTAAATTACACTACAGATATGTGTTTACGATGTAATTATTTGGCCGCTAAACACGACAGATATGGATTTTTATACAACTTTTGCCGGCCGCTGCTCGCATGTATGTGGTCAGTACAGCAATTTCGGTTTATATCGAAGCATGTTATCAAAATAATGCTCATATTTCCAAGCATGTTTGAGAAATAATACATTATTGTAGCGGCCAGCAAAAAAAACATTGGGACGAACGTGTACTCGTACCTAAGCCCATCAATGCCTAGTTATGGCCAAGGCTTGTATAGTTCTTTTCCCAATTAATGCGTGGAAATTAAAACCAAGTAAACAGTTAGTAGATATCTAGGAAGAACTTGTATTTGAAATAGTACATACATAAAAGTGTTTATTTTTTTCAATTAACAGTTTTCTATTTGCAAGACAGTTCGAAATTTTAATAAAACTTTTGATAAGTTACCTTCTTGGTTGCCATGTTCCGCAGCAAAAGATCGTTCCATTTATTAAATTACACGACAAATATGAGTTTACTATTAAATTATTTGGCCAATAAACACGACATAATATAGATTTTCATAAAAAAATTGCCGGCCGCTGCTCGGATGTATGTGCTCAAAGAAGGTTATCAAAACAAATGCTCAAATTTCATGTTTGAGAAAAAGTATATTTACTTTAAAAAACGAGTAAGTAGATCCTCCTTTTACAGTTCCGTATTTGATTTTCGTCTGCATCGCCAAGTCTTCTGCGTTTTTGATCGAGTCGTCCATAGCAGCATTGGTGAGGAATGCAGCGAGATTCGCTGTGTACGAAGAGCACATGATCAACGCGAAAAACCACCACATGCCGCATATCCATCTGGTGGAATAGCCCCTAACAAACATTTTATCGATGTTAGACTTCTGATTTAATAAAACTATACTGCGTTATTAGTTTTTAAAAGCTTTTCTTTTTAGGCTTTACAGTAATAACAAAAATAAAAGGTTACGGGATCCTTAATATTGTTACATTATTCGATGTGTCGAATCGTACGCAGCGCAATTTTTTTCTTATCAGCTCATGTGAGTATGTTCATTATCCGCCTATTAATGTCCCCACTGCTGCGGCACAGGCCTTCCCTATGGATGGAATAGGGAGATTGGGCCGTGATCCACTACGCGGGCCCAGTGCGGATTGGCGAGTTATAACGAATGCAGATGCAGCCGGGACCACCGGCTTAATGTGCCTTCCAAAGCACGGAGGAACTCGAGATAGAACATTTTTGATCACCCATCCAATTACTCACCACTGCGAAAGTTGCTAAACTTCAACGATCGCAGCCGAACGCGCTAACCACCCGCGCCATCGAAATCCTAAGATATAGAGAGTATGTTTGTTCCTAGAAAATATTTTTTTGAACCACTGAAAAAATATTTGCAAATTCTTTCAGTGGAAAGCTGCAAGATTATATTTGAGTGATAAAGACTTTATATTTCTACCACGTTAAAATAAATTTCGCCCGTGCAAAACCAGGGCGGGTGAGATTTATATTAAAGAGATAAAGTTCGTATGTTTGTTACTAGAAAGTAATGTCTTGAACTACTGAACCGATTTTAAAAACCTTTCTTTAACAAGGTACATTAATGCTGAGTGACATAGATTATAATATATTTATTTTCGCGTTGATAAAATTTACAGTTTGTGCAAAGCCAGGGCGCGAGGTGGCGGGTCGCTAGTACACAAAAAAAAGTAATAATTTCTACAATTTATATTAAATAAGAAACGTATGTATAAATGGATAGAATATTACGTACTTTGGTAAAATATCCGAACCCTGTGTCATGATGGAGCCCATTGTAAGCCAGCACGAATTTTTTATGTGCCATATATTTTCTAATTCCTCTGGCGATTTGTCGCACGGGTGTGGATTCTCCCAATCATTTGGCGCTAGTCTGTGAAAATTTCAATATGTTAATATAATGGAGTTGAAATGTTGTGACGCTAGAAGATATTTACGTGGAATATTGATATTCTGATCTATTACTTGTAATTAGCCACAATTTCAATATTGTGCTGTGTACAATGCAATATTGTTCAGAATATACCTTGCTAAAATGTGAAGGAGTAATGACACCATTAAATACGCAGCTGCCATATAAATCCAGACGTCCACTGAGAAAGGCTTTAGAAATGAAAACAATTCCGGTTCCGGCGATGTAGGTTTCGAGTATAAAATGCTGATGCCCAAAGTCATAAACGGTGTCGTAAAGTCAACGTAGGATCTTCGTTCATACGTTATAGTAAGATCGCATATAGCCAAGTCCGCTTTCTGTGGATGAAATTATGTCTATATTAGTGAAAGTAAATGTATCGAGGTAAGTTAAATGATGCACATACCCTTTCTAAAAGATGCCCCACGAGACCGTCCCATTTCTTTGTTTCTTTATTGTACGACCCATACAAATTGCCGGGTACTATTTCAATTTCATAATTTAAATTCAACGTTTCTTTCAAAACTTCGTGTATCAAGTCTTTCGAATAACCTTCATAGCGATCATTACCAGTCAACACCTCTCCATCCGCGGGCACTTTTTCAATAAGATATGGCACTCCGATTCGAGTTACTACTTTGAATGTTTTATTTTGCCATTTTTCTGACAAAAGGTCGGAAACTTCGTTTGCTGACCTTACATACTCAAAACCAACTTCAGCATTCCATTTGGCAATCCGGCTAAATCCACTATTAGAAAGTTCCATTATTTCAACATCGAAATTACTTCGCTCTCCCGTAACATTATCCACAGCTATTTTTCCTGTTATACCTGCTATGGGATTCTATAAATAAAAAAAAATAATGTGAATTAGAATTGTCATACGCCAGGTATCAACGATGTTCATTTGCAGCAATGTTACCGTTAGTAAATGATCAGTGAAATCTTTTCCTTTCTCCCACTTTTCCTTTGAGCCGCATTCGAGAGGTTGTGCTTCTATTTTAAATTCATCAGGCGCACTTTCTATTGCATCTGTTATTAACCGAGCTGCATCACTAGCTAAAGCTGTTTCAACCTTAAAAATAATGATTTATATTTACAACATGAACATTAATATTTATTTATAGTATTTATATGTAAACATTTTACATACTGTTATTTCATATGTTTGCAATGGAATTTTTACATTAGGAGAGCCTCTCACTTTCCAGTCTGCTAGGTAAGATCTAGTTCTTGAGTCAGAATGATCAAAGATTCTTAAGCATGTGACGTTTGAAAGTCCATATCGTAACTCTTCCAAGTCCAATGTATGAGCATCAAGCGACATGAGAACATAGCTCTGAAACATTTAGGTTCATATTTGATATTATATTGCCCTCCAATAAAGTCAGGGAGCCAAATAACTATATAAAATTCTTCACTTTATTTGCGAAATTGAATGTAACGAATTTAATTCATTGAAAGTTCATCACTTGAAAGGAAAGTAATTTATATATTTTTTTTAAGCGCAAGTCACTTTGTGATTTCGAGCGATGCAAATTTTAACATTCGTTTTTTATTCTCTACTAGCACATCTTTTCATATTTGAGTTAATATTGCGCGCAATCCATTTAGTTAATTACATATATAAAGCAGAACGAAATAAGATGTTTCGATTTAATACGGCACGTGCTTAAAATACTTCACTCCAGGCTGGATTGAATTCAGTATAAAATGACTAACGTATAGTTGTTTCTCTTATCAATAAATTGAGAGACAAGATTTAGAATCTTTTTTGTAAGTTGCTTAATAAATCTTGATATTGATTAGTTGTTTTTTACCTAACCTAAGCACTTGAATTTAGGCGGCTGATGTTAAGGCGACTACTTTTAAAACGAATCTGAAAAAGAATACTGTTTTTACTATTTTTTGTGAAATCTATAATAGTAGCAAGCAGCAAGCTTAGTTAAGTATACTTACCATGTAATCTTCGAAGAATTTTACGTCGTTTGCTTGACGCAGGTAATGCAGCACTCGATCTGCGGGACAATCCAGAATTACCCGGGTCTCGCCCGTGGCTTTTAGTGATTTTAATAATGTACGATTGTCTTCCCCCGGCACTAACCGTCGAACACGCCATTTATGTTCTGGGTCAGCATGCTTGAGTATTTCTTGTAGTCGGATAAGGCCTAAAAGGTTGAGTAAGAAAAAAAATTAAAGCAACCAAGCAAACTCTGAATAAAAAAAATTAGGGTATTTTTATACCTAGATCATCATCATACAGAAGTGTGTAGGTATTCCAATCACTGTCTTTTATGAAAAGAGCTACAGCTTTCGAAAGAGCCATAGCTTCAGGGTATAGATTGATGCCAGGGGGACTGGGTAATTGCAGCCCTCTCACCGAAGGAGGTCGCCAAACTGCCTGCAAAATCACTACGTTAGGTACAACATGATGGAAGAAAATATCAGTTTGTTCAAAAAGTTCTGCTACGAAAGTCAGAAATAATGCCATCGCCACAACAAATGTAGAAATGGACTAAATTAAGATTACTCGGTGCGCTTCTCGTAATTATATATATATATTGCAATAAATATTAGATACCACCCTGAATATGAAGTTTATCAAATAATAATTTATATATAACCTACTTGTATATGAGGAATATCGAAAGCTCGACAGTGTGCTTCTACGGCTGAAGCAGATACGATGTCTGTAGGCCCGAATACGGCGACTACACCTTCTGCGGTTAATTCGCATGCTGAAAAATATTGTTTTAAGTACATACTAGATACAATATAAATTTATTTATTTTTCTTATCTCAATCTTTGACAACAAAATTATAACAATATATTAACCAAATTAAAAAAAAACCTAATCGTTTGATATTTTTAAAATAAATACCATTAGATCTTTTCAACGCAGAGTAAGAGTTTTAGATTCAATGCACGGTCGTAAATTCGTAAAGCAATAATGAGCGATGTCTGCTGGAAAATGTAGCGTAGTATTAATCTAAGCTGAACAAAAAATAAGTAAACCAAAGCGAAAGCGTAAACTGTAAATGAAAATTAAAAAAAAATGGCTGCCAAAATTCGGCCGTTTGCAATTTACCAGCTTTCGTTGCAGCAAAACTATCACCGTAGGGAGAATAGACAGTCTTCAAGACAAAGTGATATTTTTCACTTTCCATGGAAGCACGTGCGAGTGCCGATGCAAACGCAACTTCTGATACTGAGCCAGGTGGAAAAATTGCACCTGCAAGACAATTATAGACAATAGTTTATGGGTATGTCTAAACTATAGATTTCAATTATGAAATAAGTAAATACAAATATAGCCTAATGAGGACATCAAACATCGATACCTTCAGGTAAATTAGTTGAGATGTGCAAATAGATCAGTATTTTATTAATAGTATTCAAAATAATATTCTACTCATTTAACCTTCTCAATTGAGGATCTCCGTAGCCGAGTGGTTTGTACACCGGGTTTTAAGATGTCGCCTACTCGGGAGGTCCCGGTTTCGAATCCCGGTGTGGCTAGATGTTTGTGTGATGAATACGAGCATTTGTACTCCAGTCATATGTATTTCATTATAAATATACGTATAACTACTTCTTTATAAGTATATGTATTACTAATATATGCATCAGGATATGTATTCTGTCTGGTACCCTAGTATCCCATAGCACAAGCCTTGTCCATGGTTTGGTCGTCAACCATCTGACCCGCTACCTCAATGATCACTCTTCAATATGGTTTTAGACCGAAACGATCGACCGGTACTTATTCTTGTACGTATCTTCTTGCGTAAGCACTTGACTCATATCTGGGTGAGGCTATCGACAAGCGTGGCTAGTCGTTCGCTAACAGCCTCGACATTGCCAAGGCAATTGACAGGGTCTGGCACAAAAGCCTTCTCTCCATGCTTCCGGCATACGGTCTGCCGGCCCAGTTCTGTTCTTGGGTAGCTGACATCCTGCATGAGCATAGTATTCGTGTCCTTACGGATGGTAGTAGTTTGCGGTTCATGTCAGTGAATGCCGGCGTTCCCCAGGGCTCCGTCCTATCTCCCACTCTCTCTTTGCTGCATATCAATGACGTAATTCCTATTGGGAAAATTCATTGCTATGCAGATGATAGTACAGTGTATGCGGGGTATCTCGGACAAGCAGCGGTTGGGCAGGCGGTAACCAAGGAGAAACGGGAGAATATTGTCATTGAACTCAATCAGGCTTTGGAACACATTTCCGGGTACCAGAAACTTGGTTGAGTGCAATGGTAAGAAAACTCAGGCTTGCGCTTTCACGGCAAAAACATCGCCGTTCCTTCCTCTTCCCTCTCTTCAGGGCACAACACTGGCGCTACAGAGCAATATTACCATGCTCGGTATGGAAGTTCGCTCAGATCTGAATCCAAAGGACTACATCGAATCCGTGATCAAAACAGCTTCACGCAAACTCCTAAACAAGATACGGCGTTTTTTCACGTCCGATCAACTGTGCTTGTTATACAAAACGCAAGTGCGGTCCTGCGTGGAATATTGCTCGCACCTCTGGGATTGCTCCGCCAAGTACTTGCTCGACGCATCATAGGCGATGAGGAGGTGACTAAACACCTCGAGCCTCTTCAAGTACGCCGTGACGTGGCGTTACTAAGCGCGTTCTATCGTCTGTACCACGGTGAGTGTTCTGAGGAGTTATTCTCTTTTATTCCACCTTCCCCTTTCCCTCTGAGGACCACGCGCGCTGGTCTACGTTGTCACCGTCTAACTGTGGTCACAATTCCAACGCGTACAAAGAAATTTGGTGACTCATTTTTTTGTCGCACTATCCGTAAATGGAATGCTCTGCCCGCTCTCGTGTTCCCTCCTTCTTACAACTGTTGTGGTAGGTAGAACTGCTGTATCAGCTATCTTCGCATCTGGACTTCACCTTCACTTAACATCAGGTGGGGTGGAGTCATTTGTCGGTTGGTCTTTCGTCTCTCTCCGTATTATTATTCTGTATTTGTTTTTATTTTTATCGTTATATTTATTGTGTTTTTTTACCTACTTGTGTCTAAGGCCAATAAATACTTTTTCTTTCTAAACTCCACAGAAATATAAACTCATTTGGTTTAAATTAGGGTTTGTGCACAATAAGTTACATATCAACTTTTCCACGTATAATATAACCTCAAAGTAAACTCTACGAAATCACGTTACTAACTTACCAATATTTACAGTGATCTTTAGAGACTCATAATTCCGAAACACTCCTTCAGTGCTTCCGAGTAAAAGGAAAGTTAACACAACTGTCACGTATTTCAACCCTGGAAAATGAGAAACGTAAGAGCGTAAAGTCCATTTTAAAATGCGCCCAAAACAATTTATCGGAACCTAGGCAATATAAGTTTTGGAACTGCTGTCGAGCGTAAATTGTCGCCGAAGAATAAAGTACTCGCCTCTGTGTTGTAGCATTTTCGTGATTTGCCGGAGTGAAGTAGCGTAGTGGAACGAATGTGGGATCCGAACATCTGTCGCATTACAAGTTGCATATCCTAGTGTTTGCTAACATACAGCAAACATCACTTTGAATTCGGTCAATAATAGTACGGGCCGGAGCACTGAACACTAACTGCAACTGTATGATCGCGAGAGTTCACTACGTTTTGAAGCACCAACTATCAAACACAACAGCTGTTTGGCGGAGTGCATCGAATTATATAAATAGGTTACATTAAATAGGACGGTGACGAGTTGATAGCGAATTACGATACAATGCCGACCTGAATATATTTAAGGCATATTCTTACTGATTTACGATAATTTCCTCATGGAATGGAAAAATACTAGGAGTGAAACAAATACATAGAATGTACTTACTATAACGTAGTAAAAGTATAATAAATAATGATTGATAGAGTAGATTGATATACAATGGGCTGTTTGTTAGCAACACACATGAGGACAAGCGTGTGTACTCTTTAGAGCAACCGCACATTGAGCCTCTAGTCGTGGTCACTAAACGCGGCCACAAGCTGCGGACGAGTTTTTTCATACGTTTTGTACAGTACTGAAGCAAAGCAAGCGTTCGAGTGGCTGCGTTCGAGCCATAAGCTGTGGGAGTCGCCTGAGCTCGTTACTTGTAACCGCGTTTTGTCGCTCGCATCGAACGCACACTCGGCCACAAGTACCGCGAATAATCAACAACAACGAAATCAATAATGTTTTCATTTCACAAACGCGTTTAACCCCCGCTTCAAGTTCTCGACGGTAATTAACGGAATTCAGCCAAAAGTGGCGGCAACTGTGGTCGCCACTAAGCCACTAGCGGCTGTGATTGTTGGCTGCGTCTAGTGGCTTGGCTGAGCCACTAGTGGTCCCGTTTGGTGGCCGCTTAGAATGATAATTGCCTTACTGTATATAGCAACTGTGATGTTTTTTTAACCGTGCGCTCAAAGGCCTAAGATATATTTAAGGTAAACATAGTCATTTATGTCATTTCATCTAGTGATTGCGAATTAAATACCTATTCAAGGCTCTGACCTAATGAAAGCAGTCATGTCCTTCAGAGGACCACGCGCGCTGGCCTACGTTGTCACCGCTTTACTGTGGCCACAATTCCAACGCGTACAAAGAAATTTGGTGACTCTTTTCTTTGTGGCACTATCCGTAAATGGAATGCTCTGCCCGCTCACGTGTTCCCTCCCTCTTACAACCTGGGATCCTTTAAAAGAGGCGTGAAGAAGCAACATGCAGGCTGGCAGGGCGAGGATGGCTGGTGTGGCAGGTAGAACTGCTGTATCAGCTATCTTCGCGTCTGGACTTCACCTTCACTTAACATCAGGTGGGGTGGAGTCATTTGTCGGACCTATCTATAAAAAAAAAACCACAAAACAAGATTAAAACAATTTAATTAATTGAATTTCATAGATATGTGATAGAGCTTATATTTAAAAGCTCAATCATTTGTTGTTCATTATTATAATAAGTAATGATTTTCTTTTTGAACAATCTCTGCTCACTCAATTGAAACTTGAACTACTCAAGTATAAAAAGTCTGAAAACTCAAAATGGACTTTGTTAATAATTTACCAGGTTTGTATAATATTATAAGATAGGTATTAATTTATAAAAACTTCAGTTAAACTAGAGTTAGAGATGTGAATAATCGACATTAATTCAGGGTTATTTCAATCAGAACGTTAGATCAGGGAACATTATTATTAAATTTAATGATTATAGGTATAAAGAGTTTATATCTAAATTTCTCCCAAACAATTTTCAAGAATAACTTTGAACTAATTAGTGTATACGAGCAAGACTTTCATAATGATCAATTAATTTTGCGAAACATAATGACCTTGTCGAATGGATTTTGTATACCTTTGAAGGCGAAATTCCACCTTAGATATCTGTTTCGCAATGAAAAGATCAAAGGAAAAATGGGTACTGACTAATAAATATTTACGGGGGTTTGTGCGGTGTGCTCTAGAAAGCGTTGGCCGTGCGACTATTTGGCAAAGGGCCAACACACCGACCGACAGGGCTTTATTGGCTGTAAGCTGATCTGCTCCCTTACTTTTGAATGGATAACGATTGATTCAGATGTGTATGAGCATAAGGTCTTACCTTATCTCATGTCTTAGGATATCTTAATATCCTATCATAATATAACCCATTATGAAGTTGCAAAGTTTTATAGACAATTATTAATAAGTTAATATAAAGTGTATAAAAAATTAGCGAAAGCACATCTAAATTACCTGTTATAGCAAAGGCTGCTTATAAAGGTAACTTTCAAATAGGTATTTATGTTTGGCGACCTCCGTGGCCGAGTGGTTTGTACGCCGGGTGTCCCAACTCGAGAGGTCCCGGGTTCGAATCCCAGTGGTGGCTGATGTTTGCGTGATGAATACGAGCATTTGTACTCCAGTCATGGATGTTTAATATGTATATCTATATAAATATACTTACATATGTACAGTATATGTATTTTACCCGTTACCCTAGCATCCCATAACACAACCCTTCAGTGCTTGCTTTTTGGAGCTAGGCTAATTGGTGACAGTGTTGGAAATATTTATTTATTTATTTGATTCACAAATTGCGACATGTAGGTCTATTTTTTATTTATTGCTCCATTTTAAATTTTCAAGCAAGTAGAAATAAATCCCTTTCATACTAACACCATTGATAAAATTAATCCAACAAAGGTATATATATCTAGTCTAAAAACATATAACTTTCGAAATTTTGAAATACCTATTTTATAAAAGACGCGCACTCCAATAGATTCCAATTTTGCTTAACGAGTTTTTATGTCTGCAGAAGTTTCAATGGCTTTATTAAAACTTGCAGTCACATTCGAACTAGTACCAGGAAAACTTGGAACATATTATTTACTTCATGGAGTCTTCGAGGCGAGGAGGCTGACTGGCGTAAGCGTATTGTGGTTGGAAAATTTCTATATATATACTATAAGAACTTTTTTGGATTTCTCGAAAAAAAATCTTCTTCTGTATCTGCGATGTCCCATTTAGTTTACTAACGAGGAGTAGTTTGATTTCTGATTGGCGTGGAATTTTTTCTAGTTATATTTTCTTTAGATCTAAACATCAAGCAGGTACATGCTTAAAAAATAAAAATTATAACTATAATTGCTATTTCTTCTTCCAAAAGTTTAATACTTGTAAAAGTATTGATTTGACATTGTGGGTTACCTATAATGCGAAGAGATGGCGGTGCCTTGCAGTTTAAGAATGGCTAGAAGAATTTCGACGCGGCCGTCAGGGCCGCGGTAGCATAATTGGTCAGTGCATTCGCCCGGATAGCGAAGGGTGCGGGTTGGGGTCCCGTCTGCTGCCTGGTTCGCGTGGATATTTTTCTTGTTACATCTTCTTTAGATTCTTTTACGTTATAAATATTCTTAAAGAGAAGCAGCGGAAATTCAGTAATGTTCATAATCCTTATGAAATTTAGTTCATTAATGATGATACCAGGTAAGAGCTTAAGCACCGAGCTGTAGCGGTGGCGCCAAAGCAGTAATTCCTCATTAAAATAAATTGAGTCAGTTTCCTACCTTTGCTGAAAAATTTTACTTTTCATGAAATTTGATTTCTACGAAAATTATATAATGATTAGATTTGAATAAAAACAGGAATTCTATAAGAGAAAGCGAACAATAGAGAAGTGGGACTAATATTGGTTTTACGCAGGACCATTTACGACCCCCCCCCCCCCCCTGGAATTAGTTCAGCCGCCCCTCGCAGTCTGCCCGGGACATCGCCCCTTTTGAACCTAGGCTAAATACGCCCCTGGCTTTACTGAACGATAAAGGACCAAGGCCTTTTTCAAAAATCACCATAGCGATCGGTTCTGAGATGCCTCTACACCTAATAGCCGCGTCGATCCACCTAGTCGCCAGTGAAGAACCTAGCAACCGAAAAACTAGCAGTCTTAGCAATATTATAATTGTTATTTTACTCTCAGCGCATACTTGGGAGATTAGAAATTATTAGAACGATCCAGTAAAGTTTGCAGTTCGTTCAAGGAACCCAACAAAAGGAACATTCCTTTACTCTAATATACTTTATATTGGAATTTCACTGAATTTAAAACGACATAGATAAATAAAGATTTCAAAGTATGGATGAATGAATGATCAAATTTGATTTCGAAATACCTTATTTAAGTTACTTACCTTTGTAATTAAGAATTCAGATCAGAGACTGCAAAAATATATCGAAAATCGACCGAAGTTTGTCGTATGAATACGTAAATTTTCGATCTAGTTTAGAAATGCATGCATGAAATGAGGTCTTACGTTTTTATTTGAATCACGATCTGCGTACAGATTATCGTTTTTCATTTCGTAGTAGGCTTTCGGATAATAACATTTGTATATTTAAAAATATATCTGAATTGTATAAAAGTTCAGAAATGCATGTTTGAAATGAGGTCATATCTTTTTATTTGAATCACGATCTGCGTCCAGTTTATCGTTTTTCTTTTCGTAGTAGGCTTTCGGATAATAACATTTGTATATTTAAAAATATATCTGAATTGTATAAAAGTTCAGAAATGCATGTATGAAATGAGGTCATATGTTTTTATTTGAATCACGATCTGCGTCCAGTTTATCGTTTTTCTTTTCGTAGTAGGCTTTCGGATAATAACATTTGTATATTTAAAAATATATCTGAATTTTATAAAAGTTCAGAAATGCATGTATGAAATGAGGTCATATGTTTTTATTTGAATCACGATCTGCGTACAGATGATCGTTTTTCTTTTCGTAGTAGGCTTTTGGATAATAGCATTTGTATATTTAAAAATATATCTGAATTTTATAAAAGTTCAGAAATGCATGTATGAAATGAGGTCATATGTTTTTATTTGAATCACGATCTGCGTCCAGATTATCGTTTTTCTTTTCGTAGTAAGCTTTATATAATAACATTTGTATATTTAAAAGT